CATCGCCGTCCATTTGCTCACGAAGTTCGCGCAGCCGGTCTGAGGTCACATGTTGACCCCATACCTTGCCCTCCAACTTGAACTGGGTCTTGGTGCGTTCGAGTTGCATCTCCAACCGCTCAAGGAGCTTTTCGCGGTCCATGATGCCCCTCATATGGGACGGATCGACTTCTGCGAGGTTGTTCTTCTTGGCATTTGAAGCAGCGATGTCCTGGGCATCCCGAAGCATCAGGTAGAGCTCTCTGGTTTCCAGTTCGTTCCGTTGCAACTCCTGAGCACGCAAGCGTTGAACATCGGCAAGCTCAGCCCGTATTGACTCCTCCCGTCTCCGTTGAAGTTCGATGATGCCAGTCTGCTCTTCAATTTGCTTCTGCAACTTCTTTACTAGGCCGTCTGCACCGAGCTCAATCTGCGCCTTCATCTCATCCCGCTCTGCCAAGGCAGCCTCCGCAATCTGGCGCGCTTCCAGGGATTCATCGTACGCCTGTCTTGCCTCTGAATCTGTATGTAATTTGTCCAAGAGGCTCTGCACGGTAAATGTTAAACCTTGGCGGAGATCCAGATCGGGTAGCCTGCGGTCCATGGCCACGTAGCTAAGCATGGCATCGACGAGCTGATACATCCGGAGACCATCTTCACCTGAGTTCTCCCGGATAAGAAGCATGTGCTGCATAGCAGAGAGGAAGTAGTCATGAGCTCGAGTACCTGTAATTCTTGAAGCAATAGCGTCTGTAATTTGTAGAGGATCGTTCATGTCTTTGACCTCGCCCTCGATGCTATCCTTCACGCTGCTACTCTCACGCTGCAGGAGATCCTCGTAGTCGATGGCCTCATTCTCGCGGAAGCGCTCAATCTGCTTGTCAATGACCTCATATTGGAAACCTTCCATTTTAGTCATGAGACGCTTGATGCCGCAAGAGGTGAACTGCGCACGAATATGACAGCGCAGCTGTAGATCGTTCTCCGGGGCGTCCACCAACATGTTGATGAGGAGCATGGTTGAGACGGCATACTCCATGAGAAGGTTCTCCATGCCGATACCACCACTGCGGTACTCCTCACTCGCGCCCACCAAACTACCCATCTTTCCACGGCCATCAATCGTCACTTCGACGATACGCATCCAGGCATCAAAGCGACCAGTCTCTCCATGGTGGTTCTTCACATGGTCCATAGCCTGGAGGACCTTCTGATGGCCCTGACCTTCGGCCCAATGGCACAGGAAGGTCAAGACTTCGCTGACCAGCTTCCTTGTATTAAGTCGGGGAGACAGCAGCGAGCTGACGAGAGCAACAATAACCTGCTGATGAGCAAGAGCATCATCTGCGCCGTATTTGTTATTCATCAAAGCCTTCAGGCACTTGACAATGTCGTATTCACGATCCAAGTCCTTGTCACCAGTCGGGGGTGCAGGAACAGGACCTGAAGCTTTCCTCCGGTTGATCTTAGCAAGAACGTTGGTCAGGGCGATTTGGCCCTGTGCTTCGACAAAGGCTTTCACCCAACTGATTGGTTGTGTGCGCAGACTGACGCTCAAACTAGCCAATTGTTTCGACGTGATTGAATCATCCATAACCTTCTTCACGTACCACTCCGGGCTTCCCTCTTCGTCGGCCCGCTCCAGAATCCCCGACGGCCCATCGTGACCATGGGTCTGCCGAGCATTCTGCCTGCGCTTCTGTTCGCCTTGAATTTCCGTCAACCGATCTTGATGAACCAGCGTCCACTTTTTCGAGGCTGGATACGCAAGCATCTGCCGTTTGGCCTGCTCAGGCAAGTTCTGCCAACCTCGCTTCTGCATCAGTTCCAGGAACAGCTGGTCCACAATCCGATCGTCCCTTGGACGGGTCAGGTATTGCTCGGGGTTGGCCGGTAACTTCGCGGGTTGCGCGGGCTGGGCCGACTGCCATGCAGCCTGCGCATTGGAGAGTCGGCTGGATGTTCCATTAGATGAGTAGGTATTGCGGTCGGCAGAGTGCGATGTTGTCAGCGTTCGAGAAGATCCGTCCGACGAGAAATAGCTCGAGCCTCTAGTGTCCCGGGTGTTGGAGGAAAGTGACGAGTGGACACTAGCCTGGTCGAACGATATTCGGGAATGCGACGAGGAATCCACCGTAGATGAAGAGTTGTGACTGAATCCCGTGTTGGCAGCCGAGCTACCCGGTCGTCCCCATTGTTGATACCGAGCACCTTTGTCCCCCGAAGAGCTTCCCGCCATTGTTACATTAGACGCATGTGGCGGCGGACGAGGGCCGGTGGGGTGAGAATAAACATTATTTTCCCGGATAGTGGCCGGGTTCCAAGCGGGATACTGATGGAAATCACTGCCTCCCTTGGCAAGATGATTCGGGGATGGTTCTTTGCGTGGCGAGGTTTCGGCTTTAGAGAGATAGTCGATGGGAATCGGCGACTTGGTGTCGGCGGGGAGACTTTCATAGGGGATAGAGGTAATCACGCCAGCCGTCATTGACAGCGCTGCAGGATCGATGTCGTTGGAAAAATCCATAGACTGGACGGAGGATCGCTTGGAATGGCGAGAGGAACGAGAACCCGGGGCGCTTCCAGGAGGCGCGAGGGTCTCGAAGCCTGTATGGGCATCGTGGCGATCGTCTACCGGTTTCTCTTTGTGCAGCTTCCTCCCGAAGAACGATTTCCCAGCGGAAGTCTGTCTCGATTTGTCAGGCGCGGACGTGGTGGTTGGCATCTTGACGGACGTCGCTGGGGAGATGCAGGGCGCAGCATGAGCGTAATCCGCTGAGGCAAGAGCGTTGAGGTGGCAGACAGTCGTCGGAGGCTGTAGACTGAGAAGAATCGGTCGCTCTCAGTCTCTGCGAAGGCCAGGATCACATCCAGCTCAAGGCGACAACTTATTCCAGACACTCCTGACTAACACTAATTAATAGCCGCTGCGGAGCAGCGTTGGCACGAGGGGGGGGGGAAGGATGCCACCAAAGACGGACGCTTCTCCCAACAAACAGATGGAGAAGATGACTTGAAGAAATAACAATCAAAGGAGCGGTCTGTAATGACGGCTCCCAGTAGGGCTATCCTACTCTGGCAAATCCCAGGATCGGGCTTTAGTGGCTGGAGTCTTTTTGCACGTCAGGTCGTGGAAGCACGGGCATCAGGGGGGGCAGCACCACTTGAGGCGGCTCTAGAACGCGGTAGGGGCCGGAGGTGTCACGTGAATTACACCATGCATGCCTCAGGAAACTGGCTATCCCTCTCCGATCACGTGGAGCTGTCTCATGCCGGAGACTCTCGGAGTTGCTGTCAGTGTCACATTCAGGGCAGACCCCGGATTGCTGCCGTTGCTGCAGAAGACCAACTGGTGAACCAGCGTCGGGGGACGGTCAGCCTGCCAGTCACATCGGACTACTCTAAGCGCCGTCGCAGGACATGACAGGTTTCCGCTGTTGATCGGGGATTATTGGCTTGATTTGGCGCCGTGTGTTTGGCGCCTGTCTATCTACTTCCTTCCCGCTGCTGCCTTGGCCGCGCATTCTCGAGATCAAGATCGTTACAGGAAAGGCGCTGAGCACCACACACATACACACGCCACAATGGGTTCCGCAAGTAACTTTGCCAAAGTATGCCCTCTCTCGACTTCTCCTAATTCTTCCGAATTCCTTCTAACTGACACTTTCTACTTCAGACCATCATCATCCCCGCCGTGATCTCCCTGACGCTCTACCTCCTGTTCTCCTTCGTGATCATCCCCTTCTTCCGCCGCTATCATCAACGATACTCCCAGTACCTTCCGCTTCATACTATCTCCGCACATACTACGACACTCCGGGATCGTATCGCGGATGCTTTGATGCGACGATTCCTTCCGTCGGTCTGGCGACAATCACAATTCGACCAGCACGACAACATCAGTATATACGATGAAGAGGGAGAGATCATGGTAGGGATGGACATGGACCCTTCACGGCGAGAAGCGCTCGAGCGTCGACGGAGCACCGCCGGGGATGCGGAGAGTCGCTTGAGTCGTGAACTTGAAGCGGGGTTCATGGATGATAGTGATGATGACGAGGGACATGCCCATGCTCAGTCACGTCGCTGAATTCTGTACCTTCTGTACATATTACACTACCCTGTAAGGAACCATTGGCGTTTGGGATGGGTAATAAATATAATAGACATCTATTCTTGCTGAACCTTTGCGATAGTACAGATAGAGTCCAATGCACGTCTGTCTAGATAAACTCAATGGGCACTACTAAACTACCTGCATGCGTACATACCTAGACCAATGCATGCACTGATAATCATCACAATGGAAATCAACTCCGTCCGTCCGGACTACCAACAACCCCTTACTTCGTCTCCAACCCCCCCGTCGTAACTCAATTCTCCAACCCATATCAATCAATTAACCCCAAACAAACAACCCAAAGAAGAAGGTACTACTGTACATACCCTAATCCCCTTCACATGCAACTAACTACCTAAGTAGGTCCCCCAGCCGAACCCAACCCAACCCGACCTAAAGAAACCCAGAACATGAAAGAAAAAGAAAGCAAAAGAGTAGATCACTAAACCAACAAGAGTATATCATCCGAAACTATACAAACTCAAATAATATTACCAGAGCAAGCAATAATCATAGAACTAGAAAAAAGCGTAGTTTGTATAGTCTCCCACTAAATCAGAGGCTGGTCCGTGGTTCTGGCCTGCCGGGGAAGTTTGATGTGGTCAAGCTTTGTGCTTTTGGGGGGGGGGGATCGGCGCCCCACTATCTGCTTTTATCTTTTGCTTGGTGGGGAGTAAATTGTGGGTTTGAATATGGTAATGATGAAGAAAGTTGCACTAAAATGACGAGCTGGTGTTCGATACGAGACCATTGTTGAGTTTGCGGACTGGATCGATTTTGGTTTGGGGGGCTTTGATTGCTAGTCTGGCTGGAGTGCTGTGTTGGTGCTGGGATGATCGCGGAAAGAGTCCGAAGAGTTACGAGTCTACGTTAGTTAAGTCTGACAACTTGGAAGAGTAAATGTTTGAACAGTAAGAAAAAGTTTTGATTTCAGGTATCATAAGCTAATCATAACGGGAGGAAATAGGCCGAATACAGATCGATCCATGCATCTCATCATCATCGTTTTCCATTTAGGCCTTGTTGCGCTGACCGTAGGCCTTGGTAACATAGTCACCGCCGTGGACAATGAGGTCCTGGGGGCGGTAGTCGTGGCGGCCGGAGAAGTAGCTCTCGAGGATGGCCTTGGTACCGTTGGCGTAACGGATCTGGGCATCGATGGAGGTACCGGACATGTGAGGAACCATGGCGTTGCCGCCGCCCCAGGGGCCCTGGACGGTGCGCAGAGGGTGGTCGGCGGGGGCGGGCTGGGGGAACCAGACGTCACCACCGTATCCGCGGAGGTGGCCAGACTTGACGGCCTCGGCGACATCCTCCTTGACGACGATGGCACCACGAGCGGTGTTGACGAGCCAAGAGCCCTTCTTCATCTTGGAGATGAGCTCCTTGTTGAACAGACCGCGGGTCTTCTCGTGCAGGGGGCAGTTGATGGTGACAACATCGCACTGAGCGAGCATCTCCTCGAGGTCGTCGACGCGGCGGCAGCCGATCTCCTTCTCAACCTCGGGGGAAAGGGGCTGGTAGTCGTAGTAGAGGAGCTCCTTGCAGTCGAAGGGCTTGAGACGGCGGAGGACACGCTCTCCGATACGGCCGACGGCAACGGTACCAACGACCTTGCCCTCGAGGTCGAACTCGTTCTTAGCGACAGCGGCAACGTCCCACTCGCCGCGGCGGATCTGCTCGTGGGCGGGAACAAAGTTGCGAACCAGGGTCAGGATGGTCATGACAACGTGCTCAGCGACGGAGACGACGTTGCAGCCGGTGACCTCAGCGACGGTGATACCGCCATTGGTCTTGTTGGCAGCGTTCAGGTCAACGTGGTCGGAACCGACACCAGCAGTGACGGCGATCTTGAGGTTCTTGGCCTTGGCCAGACGCTCAGCAGTGAGGTAACCGGGGTGGAAGCTATTGCGGGCAACCAGTCAGCTATTTAGTTCCCGTAGTTGCCAAGTTCCCTGAGCGGATAACTGTGGGTAGTGAAGTGGGTCACATACGGAGTGGTGATGATGACTTCAGCGTCGACGAGCTCCTTGTCAAAGGTCGAGTTCTCGCCCTCCTTGTCGGAGGTGGTGACCAGGGTGTGACCCTGCTCCTCGAGCCACTTTCTCAAGCCGAGCTCGTTTTCAGTGGTACCCAGAAGACCGGGCTGCTGCTTGGCGTGCTCACCGCCCTATTGGGAGATGGTTAGCATCTGGTGATTTGCGAGAAGAAGAAAGTGATTCTATTCGGGTACTTACGTCATAGAGGACCATAAGAACCTTGCCCTGTAGATTCGCGGAGGCGGTTAGCGTACGTGCACCAGCGATCGAGTTGGCCAGAGGAGCAGCCCGGAATGGGCTGCTGGCCGCGGGCGCGAAGGCTCCCTTGGAGAGAAGAGAGGTGGCAGGTCGCCGAAGTTGGCGGGAGAAAGAGCGCATAAATACCATTGTGAAGATGAGTTAAGTGAAATGAGATGAGATGATTTAGAGATGGGAGAGTTAAATGCTGGTATGATACCTATGGCAGGAGGGTCAGCTTGAGGTTTAAATACATCCCGGATTTGGAGAACGTGGGAAGTAGTAGTAGTAGATGCATCGGATTGCAAAGTCGGGGAAGCCGAATGAGCGGCAAGCAACAACAGTAGCAACGGCGAACAAGGGGAAGCGGGGAGACAGGAAAGCATGTGTGGAGAAGCAACTATGGATGGCAGGCAAGCATGCCACAGGGCAGAGCCGATGCCAGATGGAGGATGATGATGCAGGGGTGGCTTACCGAAAGCGGCGGTGGAGTTTCAAGAAACCTTGGAGAGGGATGAGCGAAGTATGATGAGGAGACAAGTTAAGGTGCGATGAGATGCAGATGTAGAGAGATGAGGATAGAATGAGACTGACAAGGACGGGGAATTTAGCCAAATATATAGACTTCACTGGGTCCTCTTTTTTTCTCTGTACTATGTAAGTGAGCACCACAATTGCCCCCCTCCATCCCCTCTTGGCCCATATTCAGAAAGGGTGCTCCATCCACATCTGCGATAGGATGGCGCCAAATCCGGATAGGAGGGCACCAGGCAGGCAGTAGTAGCACAAGGCCTATCATCTGGGTAGACCCAGCAAGTGGCAGGAGAGGGGGGGGGGATAGTTTGGGACCCTCAAATCAGCCCCGAGAGTTGGAGCAAGGAACTGGAACCCCACCAGCCAGCAATTGAGGTTGGGCGATCGTCCGGGTTGGCGGCAGTTTCGCATCGGCACGGACGACGTTTCGGTCCAGTTGTTGTCTCCGCACGCGGGACAACTACTACTGGAAACTAGTCTAGTAGCACATAGACAGCCGCGGATGGTCGGATGGCTCTAGGTTAGGTTTGTATAGATCGATACCGTCGAAAGCTTGAAATCCACACCTGGGGCAGTTGACACATTACGGAGTATAGTATGTATTGAACTAGACTACTACTTAGTAGATGAGCCCTAATTGGAAAATGCATACAGTGGTATCATAGCGGTAAAGCAACCGAAAACCAATACAACAATACTATTGATTGTATAACCCCAATTTCAGTCACAGGTTAATTGCCATCCCAACATATGTCCTACTGCAGGGGATTGCCCACGGCCATGCGGGGTTTCAGAAATCTAGAAACCATTGGGAAGAGAACCGGCATGGCATGCTTAATGGGCTCGTGAGGGGAACCCGAGCCTGGGCCGAAAGTGCCTGCAGGGCCGGAGGTATGTCGGGCGTAGAGTTTCCATGGGGAAACGGAAAACCTGCCAGCCTGTCTGTCATCCACAAGTGACAATGGCCAAATGGACCTTCCTTTCCTACGGGTATCGTTGAGGGAGGATCTTTTAGCTCAATTCAGTCAATTCTCTTACTATCCACTCTTACCATTTAGTGTACCCACCGATGTCTGCGGACAGAATTACTGCTTCTGCTGACTTCTTTTCCCGATAGGGATAGCTGTTACTCCCCCTCACGAGGGGTTATCTCTGCATCGCCACTAACCCATATCAAGACTAGTGGCAAAGCTGCATGAGGGGTAACCCCTCATCTCAATTGGGAACAGCCAAACAGACAAACTAATAGGAACCGGCATGGCCATCCATCCCACCGACTGGGAGACTAAGTCGAATTGCTGCTTGCTGCTGTTACGACTACTCAATCCACCCGAGACTCGGAATCCCAGGTGCCGTTGATAGCGTGATCTATCTATCTCAGTCTAGCCAGGTCTCTCTTCTCTGTCCGGGTTAGGAGAGACAATGACATGAGGGGACCAGGAATCGGCTCATGCGACTTCCTCTCAAAAGCTCATCTCTCCGCAGATAAACCCGCCCGTCCGTCCACACCCCCCCAAAAAATTGTTTCCATCTGCGAACAACTTGAAATCCAAGCACCGAGTGATTCCCGTGTTTCAGCCGGACCATGGGTGCCCCTGCGCGACCGTGAACAATGCCATCACAACAAGATGGGAAGAAGACAAGGCAGAGCCAGATCCACCTGTCAAGTGTTGTCAAGTGTCAGGAATACATCACCACCACCACTACCTTGGGGGAGGCGGCGCCTATGAGGGGAAGCCCGGCTCCACCACCTCCTCACTTTGGAACGGCGCATCGCCTTTCCGGCCACATCACGCGATGGAACCCTCGTTGGCCCCAACTTTTTGAGGGGTAGGAATTACTACCAGTTGTTGGGTAGTTTAGCCACGGCTTCCGGCCTCAGGGAGCTCGACTGATCGAAAAATAGGAAATGCGCGCCTATCGTCGGGCGGGCGAACGGCCTCCCAATTTCCCAAATTTTTTCTGGTTGGCCAAGGTACCAACTATGCGCATATACACACTGACTGGCTTGACTGGCTTCGCGGGTCAGGCCTGTCAAGTATTTCGCGATCGTCAGTGTCTCAGAGGAGATGGGTACTTTATTTTTTTGGCCATGTTGCCTTTCGTCTAATATACATGCATGGGTCTATAGTTACATGCGCGCTCCCCCAAGGGGAGGATTAATTTTCTTTACAACAGCCCGAAATTCCAGACACTGTAGGGCGACCCTGAGCGCTAAAACACCACATTGACCAACTTGCCGCCCTTGACGACAATCACCCGTCTCCGCTTCTCCCAATCGTTCTTCTTTCGCAACCAGAATTGTCCTTCGTCCGTCTCCAAGATCCGGTTGATAATCCAGTCTTGTTCCTCCGTGACCGTGCCGCTAGCCTCGGGCGCGGTCGTGGGGGAAAGACGCCGAGGGATCGTGATTGTAAATCGCAACTTGCCATTGATCTGGACAGCGACCACTTGGCCACCGCGGGCAGACAGGATGTCGGCCTCCTCGGGCTTCAGCAGAGGAGTTGGCCAGGGACAGTCAAGGATGGCGGGGACATTGGTGGTGGTGGATGGCTTCCCCGCAGTCACGGGACCATTGAGGATCTCCCAACACTCGGACGCCAGCGCGGGCGCGATCGGCGAAAGCAGCCGGAGCAGGGAAGAAATAGATAGGTAGAGGACCTGCGGCGAAGTGGGCTTCGACGACGACAACGAGTTGGTCAACTTGGTCAGGTCGGAGATGACTGTGTTCAGCCCGTATGGATTTTTCTCAATACAGCTGGTGACGGAGGAAATGGTGCGGTGGGTGGCAAGCACAGCATCCGCATCGCTGTCGCTCAGATCCTGTAGAGAGCTGGGCAAGCCGGTCGCGTGGCCGGAGGAGGCCTCCAAGTCGGCTGGCTGCAGTGTAAACGAGGACGAAGCCAGGCTCTGCTGCGCATCGTTCACCAACTTCCAGAGTCGACCAAACCAGCGCTCAATGCCCACGATCTTCGTTTCGTCCCATTCGAGCACCTCACTGACCGGAGCCGAGAAAAGGACATGGGCGCGAGTGGTATCGGCGCCGTATTTCAATGCACAGCCGGTCGGATCGACTCCGTTGTGCTTGCTCTTGGACATCTTCTCAAAGGACACATTGGGCGTGATCTGGGTGCCCTTGATCAGTGGCTTGTCGGGGCTGGAAAGATCCACTTCGGAGGGGAGCAGGAATCTCCCCGTAGACGGCTCCGAATACGTCTTGCCGTGGACCATACCTTGGGAGAGTAGAGTCTTGAATGGTTCAAACGGCGTCGCGACGTTCCCAGCTCGAGCGATTTCCGGGAACAATTCGGACTGGGAGAGGAACTTGTAGATGAATCGGGCGTAAAGCAGGTGCAAGATCGCATGCTCAACACCGCCAATATAGACATCCACCGGGCGTGCCGCCGACGGCGAAAACGGTTGTGCCTTGTTCTTTGGGTCCAAGAACCGGAGGAAGTACCATGAAGAGTCGACAAAGGTGTCCATGGTGTCGGTATCCCGCTTAGCAGGCCCGCCACAGCTCGGACATTTCGTGTTCACCCACTCATGGGATGATTCGAGAGGGTTGCCTCTCTTGCCCTTCAGCCAGTCCCCTTCAATCTTGGGCAGCTTGACAGGGAGCTGGTCATCTGGCACAGGTACAGGGCCGCAATCGCCGCAGTGAATGATAGGGATGGGAGCCCCCCAGTAGCGCTGTCGGCTGATCAACCAGTCTCTAAGCCTCCATTGTTCGACAAAGTCACCGCGACCGACCTGTTTCAGATCGGTGACAATCTGCTTTTTGGCCTCGCTAGAGTGGAGACCCTCGTACTTCCAGCACAAGGAGTTCAGATACCCCTCTTGCGTAAAGGCATTCGCATCCGCGGAGGGAACAATGCTCGCGTCACCACCATCTGCCCCAGCTTCCCCTTTGGGTCCAACGACAACGGGTATGGAATCAGGGTTCACATTATCCCTGAAGAATGCAAGGTCTCTGGCGTCATGGCCTGGGACTCCCATCACTGCGCCCTCGCCGTAGTCGCTAAGGACGTAGGGTGCCGCGAATACGGGCAGCTGACGGGCGACATGGGGGCTCTCCTTGTCAATAACATGTAGAGGGTGGGAAGCAGTGACACTGGATAGTTTGTAGCCAGCTTTGGAGTCAGGCGGAAGTGATGCGGCAGTATCCAGGAATTTGCGCAGTTCCGGATCCTTCTCCGCAGCCTCCAGGACAATAGGATGGTCCAGAGAAAGGGCAAGGTACTCGACTCCGTAAAGAGTATCAGGTCGCGTGGTGAAAACATCGATATCGATGTCTGTACCATTATTGCCATTGACAGCCACAGGGAACTTGATCTTGGCACCCTGCGATTTTCCAAGCCAATTCCGCTGCATGGAAAGGACACGCTCCGGCCAGCCGCCTGCCAAAGAGTCAAGATCCTTCAGAAGCATCTCCTTGAAATCCGTGATACGGAAGAACCATTGCTTCAGCTTCAACTTCTCGACCTTTGCTCCCGAGCGCCAAGAGAAGCCATTGGCATCGACCTGCACCAAGAGTGAGCCATTTGAATCCCGTGTGTAATCCAAGCCATAACACCCACCTGCTCATTAGCCAGCACCGTCTTATCAACCGGATCGTAATTGACCAACGCCTCAGCTTGGTATGCAAGGCCCTTCTCGTATAGCATAAGGAATATCCGCTGGGTATGTTCGTAGAACTCGGGTGCACACGTTGCTAGTTCCTGCGTTTGAGACAACCAACAAGTCAGCAAAGCTGGTAGTCATGTAGGCCGCACATTCAACACACATACCCGATCCCAATCGAAAGAGGTTGAAATACTTCGTAATTGCTCTTTCATCTTCGTTATATTCGACTCCGTCCATTCCGCAGGGTCTATCCCCCGTTCAATTGCCGCATTCTCCGCCGGCAGGCCAAACGCATCCCAACCCATTGGATGGAGGACCTCATGTCCGCGCATCCGGTAAAACCTAGCCAGCACATCCGAAATAGTGTAAACGCGCAGATGCCCCATGTGCAACGTCCCCGATGGGTAGGGGAACATAGACAGGATGTATGATTTGGGTTTTGTGTCTCCGTCCGCCGATGCCTTGGAGGGCGGCTTCAATGAATCTGTGTGCCATTTTTCCTGCCACTTCTTATCCAGGGCTAAAAGATCGAGTTTTTTGGAAATTGATGTCGCAGCTGCGGAGGTTGTCGCATAACGAGAGGGAATACCGGTCGGTCGTGGAATCGGACGAGATGCGCAGTTCCATCGGGCTGGATGTGGGAGCGCCGACCGTGTCGGGCTCAATCGAAAACGTAGTAGGGATTGCATGTTGGTCGTATAATCATTATGCCGTAGGAGAGAGTTGTTGCGCCATTGACTGGCGTGGATTGTTGAATTGGAGAGTTGGCGGTGGTGGAATCTCCGTCAAGATTTCTTGATCGGATGGCTGAAGTCATATCGGCGGATCGGCATCGCCCGATAGGGAATAGTGTCAGCAAACAAGCAACATTGGTAGACACATGAGACTGTCAGGAAGTTACAGTATATATTTAAACAAGCCTGTTGTGGCTTTTCTATGGGCATCACGTAAACTCAGTATTAGTCAGTAGTGGTACCATGTAGAATTGTTCAATCATCGCACGGCCAAGTACTACTAGAGGAATCTACTAGTAGTCTAGTAGTAAGTAGAAGTTATTTGAAGTATCCTGCGGGAATATATAACCACCGCTACTTAGTAGGTACTACTCAGTAGTACTGTGACACTGAAGAGACTGAATCAATGGGTCACCCGACCAATGATACTCGACTAGTACTACCAATATCCTGAAAATGCTTTCTAGGTTAGATGGATAACTGCGGTGAAGAAGCAATAACCAATACGCATACCGATCGGGGACACTTCCATACTCTTGGTGGAGCTGGTCTTGCACGACACCCTGCGAATGTAGATAATGAGCTTGAAGAACGCGCCTTAACGCCCGAAACAAAAGAGCTGCTTCTGTGAGTTTATCGTGTTTCCCTATGAAGTTGTGATGATTTTATTGTACGGCCATGGGCTGCAGAGTGCCTATGACATTGAGATCGCATGTATCGACCAACTAGAACCTCGAGTCAAAAAATATCCACCTACAAAGTGACAAAAGTGTACACATTGGCAGACTTGAGAAGCTCAGATTGAAAAAGAACTCGTAAGTAGCTGGTTGGACTAGGGCACCATCATCAGAGCCAAATTGCTGGCTATGTACTTCAACAACAGCAGTGTTCCAGCTATGATATCAGATCATGTCACGGAAGATCATGACGAAAGAAGAAAGAATGCGACCAATAACGACGAGGTCTTTATCGTCTACTAAGTTCAGGAGATTGCAGGCTCGGCAGGTACCCGTTGTGCCTAAGACTCTAGTAGTATCTAGAATCTCGCACCCAACCGTCGGGCTCGGAGACTTGCCGTAGTCTCGTTGATTCTCGAGCTCCGACTCGCCATCAACCCACCGCATGTACTGGAATTCCCGTCCGCATCGCCAAGATTGGATCTAGATAGAGCTTCTCGATCCCATCTGCTTTTACTGGACCAGACCCTTTCTTTAGCCGCGGGATCGTGTGAATCTCATGGCCCACGTATTCATGAACACCTGTTCCACGGAATCACACCCTGAAGAATTTAACCAGGCGGCCTAGACATTCCAACTGAGTAAGTACCTACGGGGCTCCACTCACGGAGTAGTACGGAGTACTCCGTGCGACTTTCCAGATTGATCAAGAGAATCACGAGCAGAATCTATTTTCTGACTCAGTTTATGAAGGTTCGGTTTCTGGATCAGCCACCCTCGGCACGGAAGGACCTGTATGAGGAAACTGGCCTCCTTTTTCCAGTGTGAATCATCGCTTGTTCGGATGGCAGCTTCTCTAACTAGTCCGTCCATTTAGGGGTAAATGAAAAAGGGGAGCCATTGTAGGGGAAGTGTTTCTATCCTCAGGGTTCCATATTGCGGCTGAAGGACGGATAGCGCTCTAGAATCTTTGCATCATCGCTCTCGTGTGCGTACCGAGCTATTGGTGGCACACGAACCGGCCCTTCATGTAGATGACCAGTAAGCCACAGCAAGCCGGCAACTTATCCCAGACATGGTGGTATTATAGAAGCCGTGGGCTTTACTTCCGACGCGTTGATGACGCTCGTGCTGTGCAGAGCTGTCCGATACATCTACGGCCAACAGTGGGGGTAAACACGAGCCGGAGTAAACCACGAAGCATGCCGATGCAAAGATAGATATAGGGGAGCCTGTATCGCCTCGAAATATGTACGTAGATCGATCGGCAAAGCAGTCTATTTTCTGATCGTCATGTCGGAATTGCACCTCCGTCGTCATTGAGTTTGATTGCAGCACGCGTGGATAGGGAGCTGAAGAGTCAACAGTGCCTGAATCCCCAGGCAAGAATTAAGGGGTCACGGGCGGCAAGTGGGAATCTCGGGATCGGACGGATTTCTCCCCTTTTATTTTTTTTTTCCCCCTCCACCGAAGCTCCCGCCCGGTTCGAGTATGGATTGATTGATTTGAACCCAGGTCCCAGAGCTTCTGCTGGCCGTTCCCGCTTCGATCTTTGGATCCGGTGGGCGGAGCGGAGATGAAATCCCCATCTCTCTCTGTTCACGAACCATGGGTTCAGGGATTCTATTAGTACTTTGGAAGATTCCACCCGTGTCAGCCATGTCTTGAGGCCATAAAACTGGCAATTCTTGTTCCCCCCACCACCCACCGTCACCCCTTGGGCAAAGTGATTTAATATTAAGCAAGTATGGTAGCTCATCTCGCTAATCCAAACCGGCTTGACAGAGACTCCACTTGGGATGAGTTGGCAACCTTAGGAACTGGGTTGATCCTTAGCACTCTCTGCCTTTCAGGTTTTCTCTCAATTGGCCCCTATCATTGGGCTTTGACCGTGACAAAAGGACCAAAATTCCCTTCTCCACTGCCAATAAGACCTTCTGGAATGGCCGGCCTACTGTGACCCCTCAGCCACATCATCTCAGTGGATCTCGATCGCCGGTTCCTGTCGTCCTCTCCTCGAGGCCTCGCACTCCACTGGTTGGACTGGTCACAATCGGAATGGGTGCCTCGTGGGACCGATGGAAAGGATACCCCAAATGTGACGAGTACTAGACTAACTGGTACCTGAATATTGTAGGTAGTACATACAGGTGGGTGGAAAAGTAATCGTGCCTGCGGCACATGCGCTGCACCTATTATGTACGACGGCGAGACCTTGCATTTCAGCCGTGGGGAGTTGCGTCCCAACCAGCCTACTACGTGCTCATCTTTCTTGTTCCTGCATGTGTGTAGGTTAGGGGAGGATAATGTTTGTGTCTCATTGTGGGCTGAGGATCGAAAAAGAGCCTGCCTGCTTGCTCTCCGGAACAATCACTAAATTCTTTTTAGTCTGAGCTGGTCCTAATTTCTCTGCCCGAGGATATTATTAGAGCAACAACACCACCACCACCACCACCACCACCGGAGACAAAGCACAACGGATAAAGAAACCATGGGAGGGGGAGGGCATTAAATCAGCACAATTTTCGTATTCGGTGGAAAGCATTTTATTATGAAGAGACATATTATATTATTAGAGCCGATTGGCGATCGGGGGGGCCTTATGACTCTACGATGTCTTGGAGAAGGATGACGAGGAAAGCGTTCTGGGAGTTCCCAAGACAGTTTAGCAGAGCTTACAAGACTAGTTCCAGACCCTCCTGGCGGCCATCCCGCGATCCCCGTTTAACTTAACCAGGCGAATTGGGAGGCGGGCGTCTTTCCCCAATGCAGGTGGACAAGCGACGAGCTGCAGGACCATTCCTTATCCGCCAATCGTGCGGTTTCAAAGTGGTGCTCTAAAGCATGCAGCCTGCAGCGCCCCTGGATCGTCCATCAGCCATTGGAACCATTGACTGGCCGTTCACACCGCCGCTGCACAACTGGCTGGTCTAAAGTGGAAGGGCCGATGTCCGGGGGTCCCTTTAAATATTACTACGCCCGGGCTCGTCGTTTCAGGTGGAGGATCCCTTTGCTTCCACTCGTTTGTGTCTTTTCGTCGCTCTTTTGGAACTGGTTTGCGGTGCTTTTCTGGTCTCGGGTTAGACGCTCTTTTTCTTCTTTGCTACTACTACTACTACTCCGTAGTAATCCGTTCTTTGGTTGCGAACCTGTCCCGCCGGTCGACATGACTCGCTAATCTTAAACCTACTGGCATTTTTTTCTCGGTCGGATCCACTCACTCTCTTTGGCTTCGTGTGCCCGTTGGACAGCGTTATCCGCTCTCTTGCCGTCGTTTTTGTGTCGAGACATTCTTTATTGCATCATAAAATTCTAGACAGCAAACAAACACTATCACCACAACAAACATCGACTGGGCACTGTTACTCTTCCCCGGTTCACCCTCGGCGGCCATTGCTCTCGCCCTGAGACGTGCCCCCCCCTTGGTGGTGGTCATTGTTGTTGCCGCTGTTGCTTTTACTCTCATTTCCCAAACCGAGCAGTCGTCGATGATCAATTTCATCGCTTTGAATCTTGTGTTCTTCTAGATCTCTTCCCCCCCTCCCTCCTCTCCTCCACTTCTTCCCCTCCGAAGTGCCTTATAGAGCGGGGGTGCTCCTTTGCTTAGCCGCTTTTCGAGATCTTCTTTTGTTGTGTTCCCCTTAGGTCCTTCTGGGGAACTCCATCCTTCTACAAGCCTTAATCTTGGTGTCTACTGACTGATAATGAACTAATACTCCCAACATGCGCTCAGCTGCACCTACCACGAACTCTCCCAAACGGAGAGCTCTTCATGAGCGCACCCCTTCCCATACGAATGAGAACTCCCCGCCTTCATCCTTGCGAGCCGTCAGCGAAAAGTACAACGATCAGCAAGAACCCGACGTGTACACCTCCACGCCTTACCCGACAAAGCCGGAGCAGATCCTTTTGCCGCGTCCTGGGAAAGGCCAAGATTTCATTCCGGACTCCCGGTTCCATGTCGATGAAGCGCCGGATCACTATCACGGCAATACCTCCACGGAACTCAGCCACCTCGGTGATAGCAGTTTGATCGACCATTCGGTTAGCGATCCCTGGGACTTGTCTTCAACGTTCGATGCCGCCAACACCCCGTCACAGGTTTGGGAAGACGATCCATCCTCCAGCAAGTCTTCCTTTCCGGAGCCGGTCCTTCACGAATCCAAGCCGACCGATCAGAAATCGGATCACGGTTCCGTCGCCGCGTACTCGGATGAGGAGCCCAACAGCCTGCCCAGAGCCGTCCCAACTATCAAAACCGTCGTATCGCAGACGCCGTCACGGGTTCCCTCGGGCCCTGAAACTCTGGCTTCGAGCAACTCCAGCCCCAATGTAGTGCCAATTGGGCCGCCTTCCAGTCCGAATTTCGTCGCGCTCGACAGCTCAAGTCTGAACTTCGTTCCTCTGGGTGCATCCTCGAATTCAGCCTCGATCACCCGCTCGAATTCCCTGTCCTCGCTAAACTCCCTGGGAACAGTGATCCGTTACATTGGAGCCGCTCAGTGGACGCATGGCTCGTCTTCAGAACACTCCAGCTCGCGCTCGCGTTCGCAATCGGTCCGTTCTAATCCTCCATATTGGGTGCCTTCCGTGCGATCCAATTCAACACAAGCTCGCGAACGGAGCCACTCTCGCTCTATCACCTCGTCGTCGCGTAGCGGGCCGCCATCAGACATTCAAGCCATCGTTGACAGCGGCGTTTTCATCCAATACCCCACCATCCAGGCGCCATCTTCGTCAAGCTCTAGAGTTGACGTGTCACATTCGGAAGAAGATGCATCGGATCAGAACCCACAAGAACCCACCACGGATTTTTCTTCGGAGCGTTTCAGAACTCACCTGTCAACAGTTCCCTCCATGTGGTCCGCCGAATGTGACTCTAGAAGCATTTCTCCGGCCGCTGACTCTGTCAACAGCCAGATGGATCCTAAACGGCCTTCTGCAGCGCTAGTCCGTCAAAGACCCACGTCGTCTTCGATGTGGTTAGTGAGCGATTCGGACGGTGATGAGCGGATGGACAATCTTTCGAGCTTGCCAGCGCGTCCCACAAACCCGGCCGTTCCCTGCAGTGTTTCGTCGGAGTCAAGACAGAGCAGCATGCGGAGCAACATGCGGCCTCCCACCAGTGGAAGCTTTTCCTTCCACTTTCTGCCAAACTGGGCCAAGATGTACTATGGCGCTGGCGAGCAAGCCGAGGATTCTGTCTTATCTGGTGCGGAACTCAGTCGGCCACCATCTGCGCGCGCCTCAACCTCCCACACAAATGCTCTCAACCGGTTACCGACCGCTACAAGCCGGACGAGGACGAGGACGTTTGGCAGCGAAATGCGAGAAACCCTGCGGTGGAAACCTGACCCGCGCGATCCACGGAACCACTGGGTAAGGGATCCCGAATCACAGACCCGGGAACCATCCCGCAATCGACTTCGACATAGCTGGTCCCCTCATCTGTTTCCCGACCGGCGCGCGGTTAATCCGAGGAGAGGTACCTGGGGTGCACCGTCGCTGGATTCAAGAACGGAACCACTCCTTGGACGAAGAAATATCCAAGTGTGGTCGTTCTGTGTTGGATTTGTGTTCCCTCTCGGTATGCCCCCATTGTGCTCTGCGATAGTCGCCTGACATGTCAACTGACTGTGTACACTAGCCTGGTTAATTGCGTCATTCCTACCCTTACCGACGAAACCGGACGCTATCCCGGAAGAAGACGTCGAGTCTCAGCTCGAAATGACGCTTCGAATGCGATTGTTCGATCTGGAGACAAGGCGACACGAAAACGCTCGGTGGTGGAGAAACCTCAACCGTTGGATGAACCCTTTGGGGTTGGTGATTATCACCATTGTCGTATGTTCCCCCCTCTTCCGTTTTGTTGACTATTCGATGCTCATACTTTCGCAGGTCACCTTGGCTGTTGTGGGTACCACAGTCGGCTTCTAAACCGGTACATCTGGCTTCTATAGCGTCAGCATGTCCGTGTCTAGCCATGCTCTTCTGTCCATGACCTCCACGATTATTGCTTGTACTACCATTCCCCCCTTATTCACGCCCTCTGTCGCCGGCTATGCCGGCCCCTGTTCTCGATTGGATCGATCTTTGCTTTCACCGTTCGGAGTCGATTCCTCCATTTATACCCCCCTTCTTCTTTTGCATGCTACCTCCCCCCACATACCCTTGCGCGCTTGATACCGCCGCATCTCTATTCCCCCTGCGGCTGCTTGGTTTGTTTACCTTTCTCAAAACACTCGACACGATTGGACGACGTAATGCTTCTAATGTTCTTTTCTTTTGTGCCTTATATTCCACCTGGTGTTCTGGACTCTATTTTAGCCCGCCCTTGGACCATTATTTGGTGAACAATGGGGTGGTTCAATCTGGGAGCGTGAGGCGACGGATTTAATCAAGGGTTCACGACATTGCATGGATATATGTCATTTTCCTTTTTCTTCTCTTTTTTCTCCTTATTTTCCTATATCTTCACTTCTCCCCCCGTGTACTACTTATGGATACATGTTTTACTTATGACACCGTGACCAACATTATCACAGTATATATACAAGTGGTTGTCGCGCTCTGCGTGGCTGCCCTTGACCAAAAATAGACAATATATGATATTATACTCATATACTAATCTCTCTGCACCCATTGTAAATCAGCCTGACCATCCTAGTTGAGCATCAATAGGTTCCCACTTAATTTAGCTTTGATGGCTGTTCAAATTCGAATTCATATTGCAGTTGAGAAATTGCTTATTATCCCTTTGAGACAGGTACTAACATCCTGGTAAAATCGACAGAGCTAAGAAAACACGATATTGTTGAAATATTTCCCCTGGCTTCAACTATGCAAAAGAAAGTAAGCCTTGCTAATTACGCTTGTTGTCGGAGGCCTCATAGCATATAAGCACGAACGAAACGGAAAAAGGTGCATCAGCGCCAAAGAAGCATACATAATAATAACATAACAATGGATCATAAGGATGTCACTCATCCAAAGGAGCATAAACAACAAGTGAAAAAACACGCAGCCGCTTTGGAGCAGCCAAACAGTCTAATATACATTCTATCGTCAACCCCGTCAGTCATCCTCGTTCACACGTGTCGAATTAATTGGCTCTAAGCCAGACCGGTAGCGGGTCCTGGGACCTGAGATCTTAAGACCCTTTTTTTTTTCTTTGGGGGTCACATGGGAAAAGTCACAGGATCAAGACGATCATGTGAGCTTGCGGCCGATCTTGTTTTCTACAACTGCTTTCAGTTCCTCTCCACTCGGCATGGTAACGGCACTGCCGCGTCTGCGCCTGGCTTCGATCTCACCCCGGATCTCCTGCACGGCCTCGTCAAAGGCCTGGACAGCGTCACTTGGAAGACCCAGTGTCGGCTGTTGCAGGGCGTCGGAGCTGGTTGAGCGTGTGACGTGAGGCCGGTTGCGGGCCTTGAGTTTCTGGATGAGGATGCCCTTGGCGGGACTGGCAAAGAAGGCAATGCTGAGGATGTTGCCTACGATCCCGTAGAAGTAGACGCTCCGCCAGACGCTGATAGAGGCGCTGAATCCGAGGAAGATGAAGGGCATCACCGTGAAGGACAGAGTGACCTGAGTCGCGAACCAGCTCATAATGTCATAGTAACGCTTGTAGGGGGTGGGCTTGCTTCCGTCCGGAGTGAGGAAGAACGGACGCACATAACGACGGAAATCTGCGCATTGTCAGTATGAGAGCTCAATGAAAGGGTGGATTGACCAGGTGAACTCACTCTTGGCTCCGGTCTGGATGAACGACCCGAGGATGAAGGTCAGATAGTATCCCGGATAGAAACCATGCCAGAAAGCGCTTGTCGTAAACGTGGCCAGACTGGCACGGAAGCCCGGCTTCTTCCCTCTGGGGGTGACGCGCAAATAGACGTAGTTTCGCAGCCAATGGTTGGTGTTCTTGTTCCAGCTGCCCAGATATCCGTGGGAGTTTTGCGCTGTCTCAAGACCCCAAGGGTCAATATTCTCCAATCGGTTCCAGAAGACCTTGCCGGACTTGGGATCGAACCCATTGTATCCCATGCCAGATAGGATACAAGCACCCTCCGTCAGGGACCAGACGCCGTAGTACTTGAGGCGTGCGGTTAGCCCGACCATGTGCATGATCCAAACTCGTCGAGGGAAGGAGTAGCCCATGTATCTGGGACTCAGGAGGGTTTCCTGATTGTAGTAAGATCCCAGCTGCAGGAATGCCAGAATCCATCCCAATCCAACCAAGGCCTTCTTCGTGGCAGGAGTCCCACTGCGAGGAATCTTGCGCTTCTTCCGGGTCGGGGGCACCTTCGATGGGTCGGTACCCGGGGGAACTTCGAAAAGAGTAGTGTCGAGCCAGCGACGGTAGTCGACGTATTCGAAGGATGGACCACCGAAAAGAGCCGGGAAGAATAGGACGTAGCCGGTGTAGTCCAGGATAGTCGGGAACTGCGTAATCGCGGCATACTTTTGAGGATCCGAGAGCTGCGTTTGGGAAAGTCGACCATCATGCACGTTCCAACAGAAAGACGTAAGCTTCATGACAAGGACCATCTGGGCCCCGGTGATATCAATTGCCTGAGGGTCGTTGACAATCTGGCGGTAGATGTGGCTGATGGACATGTGGCCCATCAAGAAGATGAAGCCAATCCAGGGCATCAACGATCCATCAATGTAGTAGGCGATCAAATAGGTACCGGCAGCGCTATAGAATAAGGTGCGAAGGCCATCCCATAGGTCAAAGAGGCCGACGAGATAGAACAAGGAGACCGAAATAATGAAGGCATTCTTCTTCCAAGGTTGAGCGTCGGGGATTCTCTTCAACAGTCCGGCGAGGGGATACGAGAGGAGGAATGACGCAATGAGCTTCACTGTTCAGCGGTGAGGGACTGATCTGGGGACGAACGAGGGTCAGGACGGGGAGAGAGAGGCATACGCTCATCAACCGAAGCTCCAGTCGCATTGGCTGGATACTCGAAGACTAAAAAGAGAGGCCGTTAGCATGATCTTCACGCGGGGAGGAGTGGCGCGCATTTTCCAGTGCTGCGACGGAAGGTTTCCAACATACTTTGATTGATGAATGGTAACATCATGGACGCAAATCGCCGCAAAGGACGGTCAATAAAAAGCAAAGAAAAGCTTAAACACCAAGGCCAATTATTAGCTGCGTCGGCACGACATCGAGCCCAGAGATGAAGTGGTTGAAGAGCTGGAGAGAAGCAAAGGGGAAAAACAAAAAATAGGGCGGGCGGGAAGATGAAGAAGGAAAGGTTAAAGGAGGGTATCTCAACGGTCTGATATCACATGGCAGCTCTCCGATCATCTGCGTGTCTCTCCTCAACCATTCCATCCGCCTTCCCAATTCAACTCACGTTCCTCTGATCAACCACATTTTTGATGCTGACGTATCATCTCCATTGGCCGATCTTGAAAGTCTAGAATCATCTCCACAGCTCTGCTAGACCACACCATTTTCTTTTCCTTCCTCTTGCCCCTCTCTCCACACCCCCCTCATTCATTATGGATGTCGTCGCGGCGGTGTCGGGATACATCTCCAAGATGGTCACCGCGGGGGATCCTTCGGCGCCGGGCTCTTCCAGCTCCTCATCGGCTAAGATGAAGATATTACTTCTCGACAGTGAGACAGTGGGACTTGCGCTTCTCTCATTGATCCCCGTGGAAGCTGTGCGCTAATCCACCCGTTCCAGGTACCCATTGTGTCCACCGCCATCACCCAGTCCGCTCTGTTGAACCATGAAGTCTACCTCATCGATCGGCTTGACAACGCCGCTCGCGAACGTATGCGACACCTCCGCTGCCTTTGTTTCGTGCGCCCTTCCCCCACCTCCATCCAATTCCTTATCGACGAGCTCCGCGAGCCCAAATACGGAGAATACTACATCTACCTCACCAACATCATTCGCAAATCCTCCCTCGAACGACTCGCGGAAGCCGATTCCCACGAGGTAGTTCGCGTGGTGCAGGAACACTTTGCCGACTTCCTCGTGATCAATCCCGATCTCTGCTCCCTGAACCTGGGCTTCCCACAGCAGCGCTTGTGGAGTCAGTCGCCAGATCTGTGGAATGCGGATGCCTTACAGAGAGCCACCGAGGGGGTCATTGCCATGTTGTTGGCGCTGAAGAAGAACCCGTTGATCCGTTACGAAAAGAACAGTCTGCTGGCGAAGAAGCTGGCCACAGAGGTCCGCTATCAAGTGACGCAGGAAGAGCAGCTTTTCAATTTCCGCAAGACCGATACACCCCCGATCCTACTGATTCTGGACCGCAGAGACGACCCGATCACTCCGCTACTGACCCAGTGGACCTACCAAGCGATGGTGCATGAGTTGATGGGCATTCACAATGGGCGCGTGGACCTCCGGGACGTGCCGGAGATTCGGCCGGAATTGCGTGAAATCGTCCTTTCTCAGGATCAGGATCCGTTCTTCAAGAAGAACATGTACCAGAACTTTGGTGATCTGGGTCAGAACATCAAAGAGTATGTCGAGCAGTATCAGGTCAAGACGCAGAACACGATGAACATCGAGTCCATCGCAGACATGAAGCGCTTCGTAGAGGACTACCCCGAATTTCGTAAACTATCGGGCAATGTGAGTAAACACGTCACGCTGGTTGGGGAGCTGAGTCGGCGCGTGGGTGAGGATGACCTGCTCGACGTCAGTGAGTTGGAGCAGAGCTTGGCTTGCAATGACAACCACGCCAATGACCTCAAGGTATGTGACCTTCTTCTCTCTCCGGGAATGGAGCTTGCAGCAGACCAGCTATTGACACCGTCTCTTGTGCAGAACCTACAACGGATCATCCAATTACCTAGCGTTCCCGCAGAGAACAAGCTGCGCTTGGTTGCTCTGTACGCCATTCGCTACGAGAAGCAACCAAACAATGCACTCCCAATTCTGCTCGATCTCCTTGTCACCGCCGGCAACGTCCCATCATACAAAGTCAACATTATCCCCAAACTACTTGCCTACCACCACTCCTTGCAAGCCCCGCCGGTCGCGGGCGGCTTTTCCGACCTCTTCGAATCCACCTCCCTCTTCTCCGGGGCCCGAGACCGGTTCAAGGGTCTGAAGGGCGTCGAAAACGTCTACACGCAGCACTCGCCTCGCCTGGAAGCCACTCTCCAAAACCTGATCAAGGGCCGCTTGAAGGAGCTGCAATACCCGTTCCTCGAAGGCGGGGGCCATACACGAGACAAGCCCCAAGATATCATTATCTTCATGGTGGGCGGAGCGACGTACGAGGAAGCGAAAATGGTTGCCCAAGTCAATGCCAGCTCACCTGGAGTAAGAGTGGTCTTGGGAGGTACCTCCATCCACAATAGCACCAGCTTCCTTGAGGAAGTCGATGATGCAGTGAGCGGCTGGCCTGAGCCCGCCCCTTCGTCCGCCGCTGGTCGGCTTCAGAGGGCAGTCGGACATTAGCCTCTGCTTTGGCTTCTGTGTATCTGTAGCTTTTTCTTATCATTATAATATATCCTGGAATTTTAGCTGTTAGCCAATTTATGCCTATCACATGAGTTCGCTCCGCAGACCATTATTATGACTTTGCAAACACAAGGAATGACGCTACTTTTGCCTCGAGCTACTTGAACAGAGTATGCTTCGTATATGGTACCTCAAGCCAACCCGGCCAAGACGCGTGCATAATGAATAGTTCATTCTTTTGAGCGACACAATACATGACTACAATAACGACGCTCTATCCTGTAGATACACACCAGGCTATCGAACAGGGAATCCTTCGCGTAGATAATCATGCTTTTGAAAAAAAGAGGCGAGCAACACAATGAGACGCACAACTAACTCCCTACATGATACATGATTCATCCGTTGTCGTATATGCATTTCATAAAAAGGAAGATTGTCGGAATAATGAGAATACAGAAAAAGAAAAAAACAACATTTGAACTATACATATACACAAAGGGCGCTCTCTCTCTATGTCTGCATTTACGTCGTGATTAAGATAGTGTTTCTCGTGGCGGAGAATGCAACGAATATGGACAGAAAAAAAATGCATGCTGAAATGAACTGAGCCTCCCCATTCCCTCTACTCTCACCACTAAAGTTGTATGAGAAGCGTTTCAGTCATGAGCATTCATAACGCAAGTCTCCTTGGCGTGCCATATTCGTCGTTTCTTGGCCACATCTGCCCCAAAAGTATCCGTGATGATTCCTTCGTCATCATGGAAAGCTGCCTGGGCCTGTGTGGGATTGGAAGACTCGTCCTCAGACTCCGTTACCGGCTTCAGCAACCGTAGTTCCTCGACGGTTGCGCCGAATTCGTACTCTCCTCGGCAGAGAACGGTGACACCAACGGTGGCCGTGGTGCTTTCGCCGCTATGCAGGATGGGGAGGACTTGTTGGAGCATCCCAGTCCATGCGAGGCGTCGCGATAGATCTAATGCAATATTGCTGGGTTGGTGGCGGAGGCTGGGCTGAAGGCGGAGTAGAGGGTGGACGGGCCGAGTGGAACGATTGAGGACGGTGACGGTGAGGTTGAGCATGTCGTCGGTTTGGACGTCGTATTTTGAGCGTCCTGTTTGTACCACGCTCTTTGTGTCACTGGGAAAAGCGGGTTCCAGAGAGTATGTTACGCCGACGTCTTCTAACCGGAAGAAGTCAACCATGCGCGCGTTCAAGCGAAGGTTGCGCAGGTCGACTATTCCTTCACGGACGCCTGCTTTCTCTTTCCAGAACCCGCAGACTCGCTGGAGAATCTCTTCCCGGTACCAGAATGCCTCGCGTGTCGCTGCCTCGGCTTCGAAGGTAAGCTTGTTGGCACTTACGACAAACTGCCGCTTGACACCGGTGTTAAGTATTGGGATAGATGCATGAGGATTGTCGAGATAGGCTCGAGGAAGAACAAGAACAAATCGTGACATCTGACCTGGCTGGAGCTCCCCGTGAACAGTGTATTGGCCCTCTCCATTCTGGGGCGGTTCTGGAGGCCATTTCATGTCGGATTTCACTGCCTTTTCGCACACATGTAAGGTGACCGACAAGGCGTTAGGCCAAGCATTGCGAAGATCGAGAAGAAGAATACAGTGATCAGGGCCGTATCCACCCCTGGCGAGGTGGGAAAGCACAGGTGAGAACGGATCACCGTTCGCGGATGGGGGTAGAATATTGGTGCTGATTTGGTCAGGTTCTGCTTCCGCCTCAGGGTTGTTCCACCATGCAAAGTCGCTGCTGAGTGGCAGAATGTCACAGCGAGCGACCTCGATGCTGGCATTGACCGTGGCAGTTAATGGGACGAACAACTGGCGGGTATAGAACACATCAGGCAAGCCTTCCTGCGAGGATCCAATACACGAGTAGTCGATCTGCACGGTGGTGTCCTGTAGACCTGGTTTTCCGACAACATCGATGGTGAACGTGGCACTTTGGCCTGCTGGAATAGAGTGGTCCTCGGGATTCAAACCTTCTCGGCGCCACCGCAACGCCGGTCTGGTTAAGTTTAGCTCCAGCTCGTAAATCTCGACGGGTAGTAAGTCTTTATTGCTCAGAGCCGACTGCACTTGTCTTGTTGTCGAATCCTGGAACGTGAAAAGGATGAAATCAAGAGGACAAGGCGATGTGTTCCGGAGTGTAATGTTGAAGGAGCTCAACTCACCCTCCAGCACCATCAGCGCGGACTGGGACAGGGACAGGGACTCAATCACCAATGATGGTTGTTGGCCAATGACCTTGATCTCGCACACTGATGTATCAGGGCCTTTCTTGGGGAGTTGTTTGCCATTTCTTGAGGTTGTTGAGCTCCACGAAAGTGGGCGCTCCACAGAAGGCCTCTTGGCCGCAAGCCCAGTGCGTTTGAATTTCCATTCGGCTTCCGGCTTCCAGGGATTTTGAAATATCGGAAACCTGCGCTCTCTGCAGTGTCGGACTTTCACTATGCAGCCGGTAACCTTGAGTGCACCCTCTCCAGTAGCTTTGCCATAGACTGTGATGTCTTGCAAGCATAGCGGAGGAATTAGGATCCACTCTGCCACGGCTTCTAGAGGTACACCGTCGCTATCGAGGGTGAGTTTTTCGATCTCCAAATCGAACTCGTAAGGGTTCTGAAGTGTGACTTGGAATGCTGCGTATTCACCAGCAACCATTAATGATTCAGCAGCCTTATTACTTGCTTTGGAGAAAGGATTGTACAGAAAAGGGTCTTTTGTGGGCTTTTCGCGATCAGCTGTAACGGCATCCAAGTCAGGCTTTGAGCGGCGAACGGGTCGTCTGGGATCTGGAAGAGAAAGCAATTGAACACCACGGATGAGAAAATCATCCCAGTACTCTGCCTCAAGCCCAGAAGCACCCAATTTGTTGGCTGCGCCGACAGTCCGCTTGATATTATTCAAAAGTCGGATCTGTTCGTCGCGAGGTAGGTACGGTGGCTGGTAGTTAGATCCAAGCATCAAGTCTCCTCTGATGGTCTGCAGGAGTTCTACTGTGAAACGAAGGACGCCGGTAAAATCTGGGAGCGCTTCGCAAGAACTAATGCACGCTTTGAGAACATCAATTTTCAGGTTGAGATCACCGTAGCCATCCAGAACGGCGTGCCGAAAAGCCCGTTCGACAATAGCAGTGATCGAATCATAGTCGGGCAAGGCATCTTGCCCACTCGCAGTGGAAGATCGTCTCTTCTCCCATTCGAAGAACGAAGATGGCTGGACACCATAGATGTCACCTATAGTAGCAAGAAGCGAGCGCATGCTCTCCTCCATGTTCCCCGGCCCCAGATCAAGGGCATTAATATCAAAAGCCGTGTCGCTGAGAGATGCCAAGCCAGCAGCAGGATGAACGCCCACTTCTGCTGCGCCAATCTTCCGGGCTTGGACAAGCGTTGGGACCATGATGGACAAAAGTTCCCTTAGGATAAAGGCTTTCTTCCGCGGTAAATCAAGCACGTTCAGTACGGAGACTACGCCAACGATAATAGGTATGGCGTCCGTGGCCGGCAAGTCTGAGCTAGGAGAAAGAGGCAGGGCGCGGAAAAGAAAATTACCAATGTCGGATTTCCGAAGTATGTTGAGACCACGAGGCCGTTCTGGCCGATGCAAAGGTGGAAGGGACTCGTTCATGACTATATGCTTCAGAGCAACGTCGTCCAAGGCACCGTCGCGAATACGAGCTGCCGCTAATAATCTTGCCAAACGGATTACTGTTTCGGAGTAAACAAGTTGAGGCAGAGGTTCATCCGTAATGTTGGCGGCACGGTTGTAGAGATTCAGGATATTGTTCGCCAGGTCAGGCAATAGGTTGGAAAGGTTCTGAAGCGAAATGATACGGTTTCCAGGAGAAGACAGACTCGTGTCAAGGCTACTGCTGTATGATAGCTTTGAGGACTTGTCGGCGACAGGGTAGCATACAGGAGGGATCTGCCACCAGTTAGTCATAACATACCGACCTTGAGCATCAGGTGATGCGTACCTGAAAGTCCATTCCAGCCCAAGCGACCATCAATAGACAAAGAAGGATGGACTCGAGCGCTTTCGCATGCCACACGTAGTCACTGCTTGCTCTAGCACTAGACGCAGCTTCAACCAGCTCTTTCAAAGCATCTGGCCATCTTCCGGCGAGAAGGAACAGGTTCCCAACAACAACACCTGAGCGTCCCTTGATCCGGTTCTTGGTCCGATCAGTTGCGCTCATACCGCTCACAGACAGACGATCCCGGCTATGCTCCTTGGACGATGGCAGCGAATGTATTTTGCCCAGTGAGTTGGATCGGTTGGCCAATTGTATCGATCGGGTGATTTCATCGAAAGTTGTAGGAGTCTCGTGATCGCTAGGCGCAGGCGATCCTTGTTTGGAGCTCAAGGGAGATTCAGGTGCGCCATTGGGGTTGGATGGGAGATGTGTAGGCAGGGTCATCCGGTGAAAGAGCCTGTCTGTCGGCCGCGGGCGAATGTCAGGGCCGCGATGGGGCCCCCAGGATGACGCCTTCGGTGATTCGATGGAAGGTATGCTTTGAATAGTCTTCGCGAACTCGTCTAGCTCCGAAAGCAGGAGAGACGTAATATCACACAGGACTGTTTTCATTGTAGTGGCCTTCGACGCCTGAGGTCGTGGGATCCAGGAAACGTCCCCAGGGCCATTCGTGAGCTTATTCACCCCTTCGTAGTCAAAGATAAGGAGCTGATGTACTAGTGCTCTCGGATTGCTCTCCTTGAGTGTTTCGAGTTCCTGTCGAAGTTGCTCCAGCTCGCCCGGAGTGGGCGGCTGATCTGCCGCAGATGCCGTCTCATTCTTCTTCACATTCTCGCCAAGTTCTGCACCGTCTGCGATTGCGATGATGACCAGGGGTTCTCGGTATATCTCGAAAGGGAAGAGGTCTAGGTGAGATGTTGGGGGCACGGAGTAGGACAAGTCGTAAAGTATCATGCCGGTAGGGAAGGCGAGCGGGGAGAACATGTCTATGTCGAGAATCAGTCAACCACTGTACCCATTATGTCGGCAACAAGTCTACCCTGCTGCAGACATGGAATACTGAGTGCTAGCATACTTCGATTGGGTCGCGCATCAGGACTGATATCACTCAAGCGGACAACATTTTCGGCTTGAAGCCTTGCGGCGAAGCTCAAGAACCTCGAGCGCTTTATCTTGCCAATGGGTAACAGCAGCGCCCTTAAGCGCACGGGCGCAATAGGGGAGAGGGGGTCGACACCCATCGTATCATCTGCGACCGAATGGAGGGGGAGCAGTCGGCGAGTTGCTCAGAACTGCTTCCAAAAGGGCGGGCAAGCTTCCGGAAGTCATACGAAGCGCTAGCACAACCAACAGACGTAGTGGACGCGGGCGAATGAGCAATGCAACGATTCCGCTCGCGATTTCGTTCAAGTCCGCTAAACAGAGCCGTGACCTCTGGTCACCTGGACCACGTAGAAAGGAGCAACTCCCACAAGAAGATCTAGAAACAAAGAACGACAGAAAGTAGCAGCGCGGAGTGGATAGATCGCGGCATCGGGCGTGCCTGTCGACCGCCGTAACCCCAAAGTAAACCCAAGGAAACCCCCCGATGTCACGGGGAGGCCCTGATGACATAAGCGTTGCATATCTGATAAGCCCGATAACTTTAACTCCGCGCTGTCTCCGGCCAGTCACTTACCATCGCCTCTGCCTCCGTTATTCTCTTGCACGTTCTTTCTGCCTCTTCTCTCGAGTACTCGCGGCCTCTATATCCTTGAGCAGACCTACCTCTTCTGCGCTCTATTATCTTACTGCACTTTTGGTCTTTTGGTTTGTGAGCGATCAAGTCTATCTATAGACCACATTCTGTTGTCTAGGTTACAGTGTTATCGAACACCGCCGCCCGTTGACCGACCGCATCATCGAAAGACTCATGTCTTAGATTTTTAACTGCTAGCTTGCTTGTCACGGAGTATTTGGGGAGCGAGGGTCTAAGAGAATTTCCTCAACAATAATCATGGCACAGAAAATCGATTTCAACGCCCTCAGGGCCCGTACTATGGGATCAGGGAACGATGAGGAAGCAGTCACAGTTGACACACGGGGTCTGATTTCCAAAGTCCTTGCGCGCTACTCTGGGAAATGGTACGTCTGTACCCGTGGCATATGAAGTAATAGCGACGTTTACTAAAGCGGGATACATAGGACCGTTTTACGAGAGATGATACAGAATGCAGCTGATGCTAACGCCACGAAAGTAACGATCAAGTTCGAAACGCTACCGTCTACGACGGTCCCACTACCTCCAGCTGCCGACGAGAGCACTTTGATCAAGCACACTATATCCAATCATACTCTCAAGCGTCTTCTGATATCGAACAATGGCCTCCCCTTTAGTGAGAAGGATTGGGCAAGGCTAAAGCGCATTGCTGATGGCAACCCGGATGAGACCAAAATTGGCGCATTCGGAGTCGGCTTCTACAGTGTATTCGATGACTGCGAAGAGCCCTTCGTGTCATCTGGGAAGGAGGCCATGGCCTTCTATTGGAAAGGGAACGCTCTCTTTACTCGTCGATTACAGCTGGATGAGGACGCCAATCCCGAGACTACATTCGTTCTAGATTACCGCAATGATACGTCACCGATCCCCTCATTGATGCAACTATGTCAGTTTCTGTCCAGCAGCCTTACATTCGTAAGTCTGGAGGGTATAGAACTATGGTTGGACGACTGGAATCTCTTGCGACTCACGAAGAAGACTGCCCCAAGCGTCAATCTAAGCATTCCGAGGGATATTGAAACTAAAACGCCGCAAGGCCTGATGAAAATTCAGAATGTCACTCGAGAGGTTGCTCAGGTTGATGCTTCATGGATGCGCGTTATCGAGTGGAACCCTAATGCCAGCATCTTTCGGGAAGGGCTCAGAGATACCACGGGTTCCTTGCGTACCTTCTTCTCCAAGCTCACAGGCCAGAGTGCCCCCGAAAAGCCAGCGAGGCCCGAACAACAGGATAATTCCACTGACACCGGAGAGATGACCAAGACCTTAACCGCTTCGGTCTTTCTACATATTAACACCGCCAGCCTCCAAGCTTCCGTCAGTCAGTCTTTGAGCAGCGAACTTGAACGAGCTACGCGAAAACCTCCCCCTAAGCGATCCACCATCGCCATCCTGACCCCATCATATGATACGACTTTAGCTTCTGGTGCTTCTGGCCTACAGTCAGAGGTCCTTTCCTCCATTCTACCTTCTAAAGGTGGCAGGGTCTTCATAGGTTTTCCAACCCATCAAACAACGGGTCTCAATGCCCATATCTCTGCTCCTTCCGTCATTCCTACAGTGGAGCGCGAAAGTATTGATCTCAATACTCGCTACATTAGCAAGTGGAATTTGGAAATGTTGAGGGCCGCCGGAATTGTTTGCCGGATCGCCTGGACTGCCGAAATGGCGTCCATCAAAGCTAGGATATCTTCTGGGAAGGAGTCCTCGAAATCCATGAAGGTACGGAAGGATGACATAGCAGGTGTTCTTCCGGAAGCCATCCATACTGCAAAGCAGTTCGTATTCCGTGAATCGACGCCATCATCACTTCTTGGGCAAACTATCGAAGACGCATTCTGGACGTGTAACAAGAGTGCATCCATTGAGGTCCTTTCAACATGCGGTGTTATCCAGAGCCATCAGGTACGCCTTGCCCCGAGGGATCTCAGCTTCATGGATTCGATACCAGTCCTGCCTGATGAGTTCTATTCGGGTGCGAGGGAGTTCGTTAAGAAACTGACGGATTTCGGTTTGGTTACCGATATTACGGTCTCCGACATCAAACGCGAACTTGAAACCACCACACTACGGTCCAGTCAGGCTGCTGAATTCCTTCCTTGGTTAGGTCAAAGGGCTGCCTCGGGCCAGCTCGATCTATATTCCATCCAAAGCTTGCTGAGTGTAGCAGTGGCAAATGAAGAGGATGAGAGCAGCCCCCAGAATAGATTGATTGTTTTTGGAAGCATCGAAAGTTATTTAAGTCCTCAGAAGATACCCGTCAATTTGCCTGTTCCCCCCACTGTGGCGCCTTTCAAATTCACTAAGTCTCTAGGGAAGCAGGAGTTGGAGGCTTTAGGTTGGACGGAGCTTCAGATAGTTCCGTGGGTGCGTTGGCTAGTCTGCAATTCTGCTAACCGAAATCTCCTGCCCTTGGATCAGGATATCACACAGAGTCCCTCGTTCTCTGCTCAGGTCTTGCCGGTTCTTTCGAAGCAATGGGAGTATCTAAGCCAAACAGCGAAACAATCAGTGATCACTCAGTTACAATCACATACTGTGATACCAACTAAACTAGGAATGAAGATGCCTCCCGAGACCTATTTCTCTTCTGTACGGTTGTTTGATGACCTTCCCGTCATACATGGCCTAAATGGAGTTAAAGAGAAATTCCTGGCAGCGCTTGGCGTTCGTAAGACAGTCGAGCTCGGTGTCATCTTCGATCGTCTTCTCGATACTACGGAAGCACCCGATGGTCCTAACAATAATCAGAGGAAATGGAGTCACGTCGATTTGATACGATATCTAGCTTCCGTGCGCGATGACATCCCTGCGAATGATATCAAACGACTGAAAAACACCAGCTTATGCACTGCCGAACAGAGTGACGGCAGTGGAAATGGTGATCTTAAAGCAGCGAATCGCAAGCGCTATAAGATATTTGAGTTGTTCGAACCGAAGGACTCGCTCAGGGCTCTGGGTTTGCCTATCATTGAATGGCCAGGTCGGTATCAGCCCAGTAGCAACGAAGGAAGGTTTCTGTCAATGTTGGGACTCAGGAGCTTCCCGTCAGCTTCTGAGCTTGTCCAAATCATGGCTAAGGCAGCCGTGGATGGTAATTGGGTTCTCCACACAAAAGCGATGTCATACTATATCGCCGAGTTTCATACAAGTGGCTATGCGATGTTCGACTGCGGTACAGTGAATGTTCCGTTCCTGCCCGTGGAAGGATCGCAGGGGTTGACTGTCCCGAGTAAATGCTACACTGATGATGGTGCCACCTTGTTTGGGTTCGCAATCCTTCGCACGGATCTGCATCCTCATGCTTCCAAGTTTGGGGTTAAACAACATCCCGCTCTGAGCGAATGCATCGATTGCCTTGTACGTCAGCCACCGTCCACGAAGCGCGACGCAAGGGTCATATTTAAGTATCTAGCCGGGCGGGTGTCAGAACTGAGTGGGCGGGATATAGATCGTGTTGGCAGTGCGCAGGTAGTCCCCGTCTCGACTACGCAGGATGAGATGGAAAAGAAAGTTGTGCGTCGTGTAGCACCCAGGCTTTGTTATCTTGGTGACGGTGAGGATTACAAAGACATTTTCGATTTCGTCGACTTTGGTCAAGAGGCGAACCTTTTCCTCATGGCCGTCGGATCCAAACGTGAGCCCACTAAGGTGGAAATTGCACGCATGCTTGTAAAAGAACCAGCAAGGATATCAGCCTCTTTCCAAAGTGCTGACAAATATCTCAAACTGCTGAGGACACTTGCCGAGCATGTCTCAACCTTGAAGAAGGACCGCGAACTGTTTCAGGAAATGAAGAGGTCGGCCTTCCTGCTCGCAAGCAGGGATATCACTTCCCTGGCACAGGAGCAAGCTGCCAAGGATGATCACCTGTCTGACGATGAGGAGGAAGATCAAAGCATTAAGGAATGGACTTTGACTGTTGCGAAGGACGCAGTCGTGGTGGATGATTTCCAGAGCTTCAATCTTTTCAAGGAGCATATACTCGCAGCGCCTCAGGAAGAATTGCTAGAGAACTTCTATCAGTCTCTGGGGGCTCAACCGTTGAGCGGCCTTGTCGAAGAGCGTGCTCACTGGGGCGCTGTAGCTGCCGACCAACGTCCAGCCGCCAAATTGCAAAAGCTGATCAATGAACGCTCGCGGCTGTTCTTACATGACCAGTCTCCTGATCTGATCCGGCATGATGTGCGGTGGCTAGAGAAGCATTTGCAAGTGCAGGTGGTGCATTCCATCTCTCTAACTCGCTCTCTCAAGGGTCGTCGGATATCCCACACGCAAAAACGAAGCGCAATCATCACTCAACAGGGAAGAGACTGGCTCTTGTGGATCTGCCCGGGCAAGTATGATCTTTACGAGATCAGCCAGGCTCTGGTCCACCTAATCCTTGTTCGGCCGAAGCTCCATTCAACCCTTACCTTGGAGATGCTGCTGAAGACTGATCTGCTGGAACTCAAGACTCGCGGGTACAACGTGGAGCGTATTCTTAAACAAAAGGCACACGAAGCCAGGATGGCAGAGGACAGGCGGCAGAAGCAGTTGGAAGAGGAGCGTCAACGTCTGCAAGAGAGAGAAGCTGCGTGGGCCAAGGAACAAGCTCAGATACAAGCACAACCTCATCAAGTTCAAGACGAGCGAGAGCAGTTAATGCCGGGAGACTTCCCTGACTCGCCGTCGGGCAAGAACAGCACCCGTGACATCCAGCCGGACACACCTGACCAAACCCAAGATCGCCGACCACGCGGGTTCTTCGCCAACCTCTCCAAGCGATTTGGGCTCGAGGGCAATCGATCGCCCTTCAATGCTGTCAACGGAGAGTCATCTCAGCCCTCCCGTTCTGAATCCTCAGAGACTGCCACCCCACCGCCGCCTTACTCTGCCGAAGATCCTCAGAAGACTCGCTCGGAAGCTCCTGTCACTGTCAATTCACCCCATCGACTTCAGTCGGAGCTGCTCTCCGCCATCCAGGCGTGTCGGCCCCATGGATCTTCTGATGTTTATAGCCGGCCTGAGACGAACCAGATCACCGAGAAGAAATCCTACTGTGACGAAAAGCCCAGTCATGATCTAGAGTTTGTCGCGACACTTGCCTGTGGGATTCACGTATTATTTGTGAAGAATCTCCCGGATCGCAGTCAATTCTTAGCCAAGAATAGCGTCGGCATTAATGTCTTTGCTTCGATGTTAATGGATTGTGCTGGGGTATTCTCGCTCCGGTCAGACATCCTCAGTATCTTCTATGATCCTGGGGGCAAAACGATCGCCTTTAACCGGGCGGGCAGTGTATTCTGCAATTACTTCTACTTCCAACAGCTCCACGAGAAGCAACTGCTTGCAAACCCGACTGCCGACCGAGCGGATGCACTTGTATACTGGTGGGTGATCCTATGCCACGAACTGGCTCATAACCTGGTGGGAGACCATAGCTCTGCCCACAGTTACTATACGTAAGTTTTCTCCCGCAATAGCCTCGTTCCTGTTAGTTACTCTTGATAACATGACTTACAATGTTTCTAGCGAAAGCTTTGTTGCGCAATATTTCCCCAAGATAACAGCCAAGCTCGCGAGCGCAGGTAGAGCTGCTCCAGAACCGAGTGGCTAGTCCAGCAACGTGTTCGGATTTGGAAGGATTTCTTGTAAATCAATCTAATTACAGACGGCCAGGCGCCGACATGTACATATTACGAGACAGCTAGTCACTCTAATATTTCATCAAATTTCTCTCAGTGTGTACTCTGTAGTGTCCCAACCGTTCCATTCGGGCTATAGCCAGTGATGCAAACCGGACAAACACCGGCATTACCTCCGCGGAGAGATGCGCGGGCCTTCGATCTTCTTGATCTCTCCAGAGCTCCCAATTCTGCTACGTCGTCTCTACTGTAGCAATCTCTGACGATTTTCAAAGCGAGAAACACTCTTCGGACGGCGATCTCATGGCGGGCACACCCGATGCCTCCATGGAGGAAATCCTCTGGCGGTCCCCGCCCCACGTCCAGATGATGGGAGGATACCTCCACTCCAACAACAGTACGAGATTCAGCTCCCATTAACGACAAAAGTGGCCAACTAATACTCTTAATGCGTGCGCAGTTCTTTTCTACTTTGCAGAGTCGCCATTCTTTGACCCAACATCCAACAACGCCTCACTTGCCATCCAAGCAAACTACAATGAAGCTTTCCGGCACTTTGTCGAGACGCGCGAGGCCTTCGAGGGCCGTTTGAAGACTATGCAGGGCTTGGAATTCGTGGTTTCATATGATCCCATCCAGGCAGCAGCACAATCTGATGGTCGATTTGCGCACGAGCCGTCAAACATTTGGGTGATTCGCAAGCAGAACCGGCGCAAGAGGACCGGCTTGGAAGATGAGGTGGTAGTTTTATCAACGTACTTTATCGTCGGAGACTGCATCTACATGGCCCCGTCGGTTGCGAGTGTTGTGGGGAACCGCATCGTACGTCAATTCTTTCCTGTGACTTTGCTTCCAAGACATTCTCTAGTGCCGATGCTAACTCCGACTTCTTGCGCAGCTGTCCGCAGTTACGTCTCTCACCAGCTTGCTAAAGACAGCATCTACACTACCTACCTTCACCCCGTCCCATGGCCATACCTATATGCCGCCTGCGCTCAAACAAGCCGACGCAAGTCAACCTGGCACGCAGTCGCAGCAGAGTAAGGAGAACACCCCATTACCGGATGCCGATGCAGCTGGCAAGGCCTCGCTCGTTGGCTCTTCACAGGTGGTCGGCACTGGTTCCAGCCTGCAAGACACACGGACACTCGCAGAGTCATTCAATCTGCTCCGAAGGTATGGGGAGGAGTTCATGGACGAGCATCCGTTGGTGGGAGAGCCTGGATCGTTCATCCTATCCCGTGTCAATGACACAGACCGAACCTCAGCAGCGAAACCACCAGCCCCTGCCGCGAAGGTTGGAACGCCGCAGGTCCGGGTTGATACGCCAGGGAAGGGATCAGAGAAGGGGGCGACGCCATCAGGATCCGAAGAGAATAAGATGCGGAAGAAGAAAACTAAGGTTGGCAGTTGAAGTGGAAGGACAGTTTAATGATACCCTAATGATTATGAGAGCAGGATTCTCTCATCCCAATTCCATTCTAGACCTGGATAGCCAGATATCTTAACCAATCTACAATTGCAGCTGGCTATTAACATCAGCTCCTTCTTTTTTCCAGCTTATTTTTATAGACCTTTTTCTGTAACCAAACAAGGACAGCAAAGCAACCCCGCACGGCCACCAAATCCAATCCCAGTGACAGTCAACAAGTATCTCTGACTCATATCACATCCTCATTGCAAACTTTCCTTTTACTCGCATTCTATGAAAACCCAGCTGAGATTTCCATCCCCATCATGACTACTACCGCCACTTTATTCCCCAGTGTTTTGTGCAGTCTGTCCGCATTCGGATCCAGAACCGCAGCTTCAAGAAACCGGTTACATCACTGCACCGACATCTTGAACCATTGAGCTCGGGGCAAAACCCCTATTGAACTTCTCTTTTCGATACTGAAAAACCGACAAGAGCGAGTTTGTGTCTTCTTCATCAGTAGCAAGTAGATTCAAGAAGTTCAACGACATCATGAGCTCCGCGAATGGGACTAAGCCCGCAGTGGTCTGCGTATTGTAAGTCACCGACATATTATCATATCATTTTATATAGTGTTTCGTCCCCCTCGCCCCGCATTCATACTTAATATCATACCAACCATCACCACCACCACCACCACCACGCACCAACATAATGATCTACCAAACTGACCAACCCATTACAGCTGCGGCTCCGTGTCCGGCACCAACCCCCGCCACATGGAAGCCGCGCGCCAACTCGCGTACGAATTCCACAAGAATAACATCCACCTCGTGTACGGGGGCGGCACAGCAGGTCTAATGGGCACGATAGCCCGCGAGCTGGTCAAACTCTCTGGCCCGCAAGCCGTGCACGGTGTGATTCCGCGCGCATTAGTAAAGGTAGAACCGGGATACGACAATGCAACGGAACATCCCTCCCCAGACACAGACACAGACCCAAGTGCAGGAGTCCAGCAAGCGCGGTCCGGCAAGGACGCGGAAAGAATCATTCCAGCCGCTAGTACTACTACCAATGGCAATACTACGAAGACAAAGGAGTCTATGTTCAAGGAATCCGAGTACGGGACGACCACGATCGTGGCGGATATGCATGCGCGAAAGCGGCTTATGGCGACGAAGGTGCAGGAGGGAGGGCCTGGGAGTGGGTTTGTGGCGTTGGCGGGGGGGTTTGGGACGATTGAGGAGGTGATGGAGATGACGACGTGGAATCAGTTGGGGATTCATGGGGCTGGGGTGGTGGTGGTTAATGTGGATGGGTATTGGGATGGGGTGTTGGCGTGGGTGAGGAAGGCCGTGCAGGAGGGGTATATTGGGGAGGAGAATGGGGGGATTCTCGTCGAGGTGAATGATGTTAAGGATGTTTGGCCAAGGTTGAAGGGGTATAGGGTTAGTAATGGGAGGATGAGGTTGAATTGGGGGGAGGAATAGGTCTTATCTGGTGGTTGGTTGCAAGGTTAGTCGTAGATGTGGCTGAGCCGAGTCAGGGTAGTATATATATCAATGGTATCAGGTATGGGAAACGTGATATTATTCCGGAATCGTGACTATCAAATCAATGATGTATCTGTTGCATCTTGCTGCTCTTATGAATCAACTTCCATTGTCTCCTCTTCTTTCGTCTCGCCCGCATCCGCCTGCTCCAGTGCCTCCAGCAGGGGCACCAGCTGCTGCCCCTCGTACAGCTTGAAGCTCTCGATCTTCCCGGAGGCACCATCGCCCGCAAGCCCCACCACACCCACAGATGTGTTGTCCACCGTCAGCTCCTTGTCCTGAGACAGGGATTCCTTGAGTGCCCGCAGGCCGTGCGTGATGAGCTCATCGCGCGACGTGGACTCCAACTTGTCCAGGTTCCGCTCCAGGTAGGTCCGAGCCATCTGGGAGCGGGCTCCGATGGCGCATGCCACCATCTCGTGGGTCATACCAGAGGGTTGGAATTCGAAGAGGTGCGGGCCGGAGTCGTCGACACCGGCGACAAGCAGACCGACACCGTAGGGGCGCTTGCCATAATGTTGAGTGTTCGTTTGGGCGCGGTCGCCGATCTGACTGACAATGCGGTCGACGGGGAGCGGACGGCCGTAGGTCATGCGGGAGCTGAGCGACTGCTGCTTCATGAAGTTGGAGAGCACCCGAGCGTCCGATGCCAGACCGGCGATGGCGATGCCCATGTGGGAGTCGACTTCGATGATCTTCTTCTGGTACGAGGAGAGCTCTTCGGCATTACGCTGGAGATATTCCTGTCAGCTAGATGTGCCCCGAGGAGAGAAAAGAGCCAGGAGATAAGTGGGATGTCGAACCTTGAGGCCGACCAGCACGGCATGTGTCTTGTTGACGAGTCCCACCACGACGGAACCTTGCTTCACGGCTTCTTGTGCATATTCGACTTGGAAGATCCGGCCTTGCGGGGAGCTGTAAAGAGCTTCGTTAGTAATATGAAAAGACTAGGAAAGACAAAGCTTTATTCCGGTGGATGATGGAGCTTGGGGAGATCCATACAAGGTGACCGCATCGTTGTCGTAGTTGTTTCTGAACATGGCGGAAGCTTGGGTAGGAGAGACTCGGAAGGGGGATGAGTAGGCGTCTCTGTCAGTTCAATGGAAGAGACCAGGGAGGATATTGAGTCTCAACAGGGAAAATAGAGGAATCAAGGCGATGAAGTAGGGAGCAGGAGTGGATGGGAGAGAGATATGGAGCTGGAGGGCAGGCAGAGAAGCACTGACGCGGTAGTACTGAGAGTAACTCATGCTTAAGGCTAAGCTCTCACTGCTTGGCTGGCCCGCTGCCTCAGGCCGCCCGCCCCATCATCCACTTCCGCTGCACGTCACTGCTTTCCATCCATTCATTCCATTCCAATCTCCTGCTTCATCCAGGCTCTGGCCGTCCTCGGTTTGCGGTGCTCCTCTCGTCGCCATTCCGTCTTACTACCCATGCTATTTTGACTCTGCTATCTTTCCCACAAGCTTTACTAGTCAAGCTTCGTTGGTGCGAAGCTCCTCCCACTTCTGCCTGTTGTCCTGGACCTGAACGGTCCTACTCCGCAATCATGACCGCCGGACTCAAGACGATCATCGCCCTCTCCTTTGTATGTCTTCTTGGGAGCTAGAATGATGCTTCTTTACTTCTGCTGCTTTAGACTCATGCTAATTGTTATCCCGGCATAGGTTCTCGCCATTGGCTTCCTGCTTGTTATCCTGTCATCGGCGCTCTGGCACAACTTCCTCCCACTGGTCGTCGTTGCGACTTACGTGGTTGCTCCCCTGCCCAACTGGATCTGCTCGCGATGCGCAAACCCCGATGATTTTATGGACAGCTCTGGCAATGCTGCTGCTGATTTTGGTCGTTTCCTGACGGGCTTCCTGGTGCTGATGGGTATTGGTGAGTGGATTTCTCGGCTAGGCGGGCCAGGTCGGCGGTCGCATTCATCCCTACCATTGAAGGCGACTGCAGACTGTGCTGCGACTGGAGATATATGCCCTTGTTTCTTCCTGACTCTCTCGATCCACGGCTGACCATAATCGCTTCACTAGCCCTCCCCGCCGTTCTTGCGCACAGCGGCGCTATCGAGATCCCCGCCATGATCATGTCCATCATTGGCGGTCTGTTGATCTACGGAACCATCATCAGTTTCTCCATGTTCTTCAGGGAACAGGAAGACTTCTAAATTGCCATGCGCACCGATATCTGCAAGACCAGATTTCGCATTGGATACCCGCTCGCAGATTGTTGATCGACCTTTTGAAGCAAGCCGCTTTCCATGTTCTTGACCAATGCACCTTTATGAGACATCGTTTTGATTTGACGTATGCTAGGCGTACTGATGTGCTTTTTGATGCCCCGGGAGTCGCTGTTGATTTCACTCTCGTTGTTCAATGATACGATTGATGTACTATAGCCAGTACGAGGTTATATAGAAACTCTGCCAGTGCAGTGTGATACATTCCTTTATCCAGATGCATAAACCCATACCTCCATCTCTTTCCATTCATCTTTGGAGATGCCGATGTCTTCCGATCTGTAATTGTGCCCAGATACCGGTCACGTGGGGGCGCGCCGCCTTGGGCGCGTCGTGTAAAATTACCCGCGCCGACTGGTGAATGAACATCCAACAATGATCTGATAACCTCATCACAAGTACGAGTAATATGTGAACGAGTTATCCCTCGTCCTTCTAACATGAATGTATGGTCCGGCACAATATCGCTGGATGGAGGCACACAACTCCAAGGTGAGCCCCGACGTCCACCTGGCTACATTCACCTACTCATCACCAAAGCTAGGCCTACAATTAATTGACCGATCGTCAAACTGGCAATCAGACATTGGCAGAGACTCCGCGCTCAGTCTTCGCTGTTTCGTTAACCCGTCCCTCATACCACTCTATGCGCGATGTGGTCCCAACCTCGAACTCCACACGAATAGCCCGCAGACCTCGCAATGGCTGAAGGACAAGCTGACGGGCACTATCTGGTTGGAAGATGATGATCTGGATCGGATCCAGACCCTACAATGCCCAATTGGGCTGCTCGTGGGCATTGACAATGATGGGCGGACAAAGACCTCTGAAGCCAACACGACCGATCTCTTAATACATGGGATGTTATCCATGACGACTTCCTATGAACGACCGCCCACCCCGCCTGTCTCTTCACCGGAACTAGACCACCAGCCGTCCCATGTTGTTAGACAAGAACTGAGAATATACGCCACTCCGATCTCTGCACATCTCATTGCCAAAACTCAGTCTCTCCCATCTCCACAAGATACCGATGGCCACGGCCGATCCCCTCAGTTCCTCCCGGACATTCGCTCGCCAAGCCCCAAGCGCAGACGTGTAGCAACGCTCTTTGAATCGGTGGCCCAGCATCATAAAAGGGTGCGGCAGAAGGGAGGTGAGGCTGTATCGCAATTAATGGCACGATCACTTTCCCAGTCGTCCCAGCAACTGCAAGGTCTTCGGGTCAAACGAGAGTCAGAGGAGCCTTCTCTCCCCCAGTTGGACCGGATTGCCTCACAACGATCCCGGTCTGTATCTATCGGGGCGAATCTCAACTCCAAGCTTCTGGGAGCTCGGACGGAGCAGTCGCGGCCTAGCAGCAGACGGGGCTACGTGCGCGAACTTAACTCACGGCGAGGCACGCCAAACCCCTTTGTGGAGTCATCATTACGAAAGGAAAGAGAACTGTCCCCGGAATTACCATCTGAAGGAAAAATCGAGTCTCCAGCTGCACCCAAGGATACAGAAACCATCATTACTGAGAATAAAAACACGATAACACGGACAATCCTGACCTGCATGCGGCTTTATGGCTTCAACCGTGCTACAACGCGCTCTGCGAGCTCGAGCAGGCCGCAAACCGGGACCGGTAGCCACGATATGGCCCCTGCAAATGGGGAGGATATTTCCAACACCGATGAAGATGAATTTAAGGCTATGTACCATGCGACCTATCGCGCATCAACCTTTGCACTGCGGAAGTATCTGAAAGAGCCGTCTCCAGGCGAAGACGGCTCGCCGAATAAGCCACCTTTGTTGGAGAAGGGGAAAGCAATGACGTACATCGATGAGTTTTTGAAACTGTTTTGTGAAGAGAATTGAGTCTGTCTGGCACAGATAACGAGTGATGAGTTACGAAGTATATAGCATAGCGAGATTATTTGAAACCAGGAAGCTATCAATGTTTACCCAAGGTGTATTTCGCATCGTCGCAGCATGGTATACGTGCCACAATCAAGGAAACAATCATACCATACTACTTTATGTGAATTTACTTTTGAGCATGTAGAATATGCAAGAAAAATAACTGCATGACAGATTTCCTCTCAAATTGAGTTGTAGATAGTAGATAGCATAGATCGGGCAGGTGATTTTCCGGCCCCGGCACTGCATCATCGCCGGCTTCCCCGAACAGCTCCAACCAACCCGCCGAACCAGCCATACGGTGATACCATCTTCAGTGCTGGCACACACTCCATCTCCCGGAATCACATCTCGCTCATACTACAAATATACTGGTATCACAATGGACGTCTCCAACAACCGTCTTTTCCGCTGGTCTAAGCCAGAATGGCTTAACAACTCCGCCGTGCGCAACGCAGGCGTCTACACCTCCGGCGCACTGGTAAGCAAGCTCCCATCGTCACCACCACCATCAAGCAACACAACCCACTCACATGGCAGTAGTTCTCCCTGGGTTTCTTCTTCCTCATCGACGCCGCCGCTTTCTCCCACAGCGCCCGCAACGGCTCCTTCGTGCACGTCAAGTTCGTCGACTGGATTCCCGGTATCTGCTCCGCGCTCGGAATGCTCGTTATCAATTCGATTGAGAAGTCGCGTCTTCATGCCGATAGCTTTAGTTATAGTGGAAGTGGGGTCGCTTGGAAGGCGAGGTTTGTGCTGTTCTTGGGGTTTGCGTTGCTCGCGGGTGGTCTGGCAGGCAGTGTGGTTAGTATTTACCTGCATATCTACCCTACCTTGTTGCCCTTAATCTGTTGTTTGGGGTACTGGGGTCGCTGGTGGGGAGTGGAGTGGTTAGGCTAACTGATGGGAATATAGACGGTCATGGTACTTAAGTACCTGATCCAGGGATATCCCCTTCCGACACTTTACTTTGGTATTGCGAACGTTATTGCGAATGGACTGGTTATGCTGAGGTGTGTATTCTGCCATATGTTCTTTTTTGGCAGTGCAGGAACAGATTTGCTAATGAACTCTGCGATTGCAGCACCATCGTCCTATGGATCTCCCAGAATATAGAAGATGACTACACCTACAACCTTGCTCTGTGATGGATGGATTCACCATATGAGATGAAATGGCCTATGGTTATCAGGTGTTCAGTCGTGGTACCTGTTCTTCTGTCGACTGATTGATTGATTGGCTGGTATGAGACGAAAGCGATACTTACTACTACTCCGCGACGTATTATTGTATTATGAATGTGCGCTTCTTTTGTGGTCGGTCTTTACTATTACTTCTCGTTCCTTGATGGAATCATGGAGTTCAGTTACTCGTTATGATGCTTGTCGTGTTATTGTATAAAGCAATGTCCGCATTGAGTGGTCTGCATTCTGTGCTTGTTTGGTTATTAGGTAGCTTTTGTCTTCTTTTAGCATGCTTGTTATAAATTATGATTATGGATATCTTCTTCCGGATTGAACTGTGGTTAATTGAGGGTAAAATGACGTCGCTTTCCAAGACCTGATAAATAGGCATCCATATAATCATTGCCGGCTTTGGTTTCATGATGTACTACACGGCAGGAGCCTAGCACAAATAAGTACACGCGTTGCCAAGTAAGGTTAGTTACCTATGGCTGGGGATCTCAGGCAACAAGATATACGAAGATGATTTACAGGCATCCATTGTTTATGTTTGTAAAAATGAAGTGAGATCATGTTCAATGTTTATATATTTCTTGGCAGAGGGCGCATGTCATGTCTAAGTAGCGCAGGGTATCTAATTCCAGGCAGCCATGTGGACTGCCAAGGACGGTAAATCGCATCTAGCTATGAACCATGTTCCATCTGATCTGTTTCGGATCAAGTGAGGTGGAAACCCTCCCGTCGCTTCTGAACCGTGAGCCTCAACATGATGGTGGGTGCATATCACGGCATGCCACCATTGCGCCAGAATCGTCGCTCAGCTTTGTCCAAGTCGACTGCCTAGCCTAGCCACATCATACCGGGGAAGATCATCCCTACGTATACGCGCAATGCACGTATGCCTCGAGGGCTCTGCTCTTGACATCGGCCACGTGCTGGCCAGATGACGACGAAGTAGGCTCGCTAGGCTACAGCATCTTATTAACAGTACATGTCACATATGTCGATTTGACTTTTCTTCAAGCAGAAGCCTCGACCTTGTGAGCACGCAGCTTGTCCATAAGCGCATCGACGGCATCCATGTCTCCGGCGTCGATCTTGTCACGAGAGTAGCCCTCGGGGAGGCTCTTGGTCACCTCGTCCATGGAGGGTTGGTAGTTGCGGACTGCCGAAGAGATAGCGTAGACGGCCTTCTTGCGAACAACGGGAGTGGTGTCCGTAGTGGCGATGGTGACGAGCTTCGGAAGGGCATTCAAGACGATAAGCTATTTTGGGGTATATGTTAGTTTTGTTTGGAATTTCAACGGGAAGGGGACAAATAAGACATCAATAACATACCTTATCCTGCGACTTTTCGTTGTTCTGCACAGCCGTGCCAATGCACCACGCCGCCATGCGACGCATGTCCGGTTCGTTGTGGTCAAGCAGCTCGACCAGAGGGGTCCACAGACCCAGAGGCTCCAGGTTGTTTGCGTTATCGATCGACTCGATGAGCTGTTCGAAGTTGTCGAATGCGATCAGCTTGTTCTCCAGGTCGACTTCATCGGAGCGGAGGGCTTCCATGGCGGCTTTCATCAGGTCGGCTTCGGAGGGACCGCCAAATAGCGTCGAGAGCATCTGCGGCGTGAGGCCGCGGGAGGGATCGGCGGGGGCATTGTTGCCAGAGTCGTTGTTGTTGTTGTTGTTTTCACCGGAGGATTGCTGCTCGGTAGCGGCCTTGATACTCCATTTAAGGAGACTGTTCATGTTGGGGTCCATGGTGTTGATGTGGGGGATGGTTCGGTGGTGGAGAGTAAAATTTGTGTTGGAGTTGGTGAGGTGTCTAGATGACGGCTAGATGTTGTTGGGAAAAATTAAAAGGCAGAAAGAAATATTATGTGAATTGTATCAATCACTATGAAATAATCTCTATAGCGAGAATATGGTGGTGGTGGATGTGATTGTGCAAAAGATGCGCCGGTGTTCTATGATGGTAAAGAAAAAGCGTGACGTTCTGGACGAATCGAGAGGGTTCATGCGGCTCCGACGGCCTTCCACCTCCTTCCACCGCAACGCTGACACTCAAGTCTGCGAGAGAAGGGAACAACAATTGCAGTCCTCTTTACTTTTACTTGACAGAGCCATATGCTGTATCTGCTCGGATCCTCATACTGATAGTACCTTTTCTGTATAGCTGGCTATCTTGGTCAAATCAAGACCAGCCAGCGGCGCTGCATTGTACCCCGCCATGCTCGGATAACCCCGCGATGCGGTCATACATGCCCGATATGCAGTGACTTCTGGCTGCTGTTCACCGACCGAGACATTTCTGCGCGTGGCACGAGGATACCGTTGGATGACCATGCATTCTTCACTGGCCTGCACCGCCAATGAAGATCGGCTTACGAAGAATCAACGCGGCCCTTATGCGATTGACATTCCATGGGGCGGGCATCAGTTCTGGCTAGGCTTTCTTCTTCGAAGCCCCCATTTTGGGGAGCCGGTGGGAAACGGCGGTAAAGAAATCTGACAGCGCATAGGAATTGACCGGAATCGAAGGGCATCAGTCGATCATTTCTACCTGACGTAGAATTAGGGATAGTACTACAGATATGACGGAGTCCGGAGAGAACAGCGGACACGGAGACGATCAGGCAATTGCATTATTAACTAAAGAGGATACAAATTCAGGGATAAGAAACGGCCACGCTAGAGGCTAAGGAGACACGAACGAGGGGCAAAAGAGTACGAACCCCTTAAAAGCCGGACAGACCAAGTGGTTCAGATTTAGTGAACGGGGGGGAGGATCCAGAAGCCTGAAGTTTGGACCGGTCGGGCTATGGTCATCGCCCATTCTCAGCTCTTGGTTGTTCTCTGGCCCGTCGGCTCCAAGGCGGGCAGTGCTATTATTATCCAGTCGTGGGTAAGCTAACGCCGTAGGCTATCATCATCACTACTATCATCATCATCATCATCGGGCCATGATTATTATTGTTCCAACCTTGTTCAGTGGTACACATTCGGGCTGAGCCATTGACGGCGGCAACCCTGGGTCGGGTTCAGCCCCACGAGGGTGCGCAAGTGTTTTTGCCATCGTTATTATTCCCCTCCTTCTGGTTTTCCTCCTGCCTGCTCTTTCTCAGCCCTTCGGAAGGGCCACCTCAACGGAATGTCCGGGTGAGAGGAACAGCAAGGGAAGACAAGTTGATTGATTGTAGGAAGGCCACAATCATTCTGCCTGTAGGCAACCATGGTGGGAAGGTTGACATCAGGTTGGGTGTATATAAACAATGGTAGAAGAGTACATCCACAGAAATGCATACTTCCACAACCACAATTATCTACTTTTTCCCTTGTTCTCTAAATTGTCTTGATATACATACATCGGATCTCTCTATCTCTCTCCAGCCAGATAGTACTTCTCAGCTTAGCAACAAGTACACGTTCTGGTCCCCCTTTAGCGCCCTGGGTGTATTAAAATTACCCGCTTACCTGACGAGCGGTACTCGGCGTGAAAGTGTGGCGGTGACAGCACTGGGACTAAACGGCACTAGTGCTCCCGGCGGTGCAATCAACGTTGCCGAAACACCCGGACTAGACTCGGAAAAGCCTAGAGTGGGACCCACTTCACCCCGCCTGATCCAGTCCAACCTCTCCCTTTTTCGCAGTCATTCCCCCTCCCCCTTAAGTTGGTGTGTATCTGGCGTAAAAAAGGGACCTTCCAGACTGGTTGGAAGAACGTTGACTGGTGTGTATTGCCTCTCTCCTTTCAGGTTTCCTGGTCTTGTCTCCCTCCATCCGTGACTCCGTATTCGTAGAAGTGGTGCCTACTGGAGACTTCATTAATTAAAATTGGACATTTTTCGCCCCTAATTGACCGATCATATATAGTTACTATCACAGATACTTGAGCAGCGAAGTTAGTAGTATGTGCTGACTGACTATCGCATTTCACCCCCTCCCCCTACTCACTACGTACCACCAACCAGCCAATCTGACCAGAACCAAACCAGACCAGACAAAACCAAACCAAACCAAACCAGACCAAACCCAACCTGAACCAAACCCAACCAGGCCAACCCGCACCCACTCTTGCTTTCCACCACCGCCGACTCCCTACTAACCCGACGGCCTCCATCACTTTCCACTCCTCCCCCCGTTTCCTCCCTCTCCAACCTACTTACCTCAACTCATCCCATCTCTCTTGAACTTACTACTTCCCTCTTCTCTTTCCCGTCACTCCTCCCTTCCATCTCCATCTCCATCCCACTCTTCTCTTTCTTCTCTTCGTCTCTTTTTTTATTCCCCGTAGTCCGATTCTTAATCCCACACAGTCACCATGGAAGGTAAGGGCTTCCTGCCACCTTGCGTCTTGCTCGCTTCCCAAGCTTGCTCGCTCCCCCTCCCCCCTCCGTTACCCCCCTCAACGCCCACCTTTACAACTTGGCTAACATCTATTTTTTTCCACCATCTAGAGGAAGTTGCTGCTCTCGTCATTGACAATGGGTATGTTACTCTGGGTTTTCGATGATTCTGGCGATGGATTCGTCCTGCTTGTTGTGGTTTCTCGCCAAGTTCAGGGGAGATGGTGCAAAACATATGTCCCCTTTTGGGGCTTGGTCGCGAAGATGAACTTGACTGGGATTCTCGCTGGCATTACTTGCCCACTTTCCCCGGCGTCTATGGCAAGAAACTGGGACAGCTCGATCGACTGGCCCGCGAGGCTGTGGTTTGCTCAATGATACTGACTTCTGTGTTCTCAGTTCGGGTATGTGCAAGGCCGGTTTCGCCGGTGACGATGCTCCCCGTGCCGTCTTCCGTAAGTCAAACCCCTCCTTGTCCACTGTGCTGGACGTCCTACCTACTGGCTTGATGGATTCTTCCCGCTCTTCCATGGCAATTGCCACCCATTGCGTCTTTGCGCCGGGTTGCTAGCTCATGTGGGGGCGGTGAATTACCCGCCATGTCAGCACCAGTTCGAATAGTGAACTAACTTGCGGTACAGCCTCCATTGTCGGTCGTCCCCGTCACCATGGGTAAAGCTCCCCTTTGTTCTCCCCTAATTGGCCTGCAAGGCTGGGTGATTAGTTTTGTCTAATGTCGCCCACAGTATCATGATTGGTATGGGTCAGAAGGACTCCTACGTCGGTGATGAGGCACAGTCCAAGCGTGGTATCCTTACCCTCAGATACCCCATTGAGCACGGTGTCGTCACGAACTGGGATGACATGGAGAAGATCTGGCACCACACCTTCTACAATGAACTCCGTGTCGCTCCTGAGGAGCACCCCGTCCTCTTGACCGAAGCCCCCATCAACCCTAAGTCCAACCGTGAGAAGATGACCCAGATCGTCTTCGAGACTTTCAACGCCCCCGCCTTCTACGTCTCCATCCAGGCCGTTCTGTCCCTGTACGCCTCCGGTCGTACCACCGGTATCGTTCTGGACTCTGGTGACGGTGTTACTCACGTCGTCCCCATCTACGAGGGTTTCGCCCTTCCCCACGCCATCTCCCGTGTCGACATGGCTGGTCGTGACCTGACGGATTACCTCATGAAGATCCTTGCCGAGCGTGGTTACACTTTCTCCACTACCGCTGAGCGTGAAATTGTCCGTGACATCAAGGAGAAGCTCTGCTACGTCGCTCTCGACTTCGAGCAGGAGATCCAGACCGCTTCCCAGAGCTCCAGCCTCGAGAAGTCCTACGAGCTTCCCGACGGTCAGGTCATCACCATCGGCAACGAGCGTTTCCGTGCTCCTGAGGCTCTGTTCGCTCCTAGCGTCCTGGGTCTGGAGAGCGGTGGTATCCACGAGACCACCTTCAACTCCATCATGAAGTGTGATGTTGATGTCCGTAAGGATCTGTACGGCAACATTGTCATGGTATGTCTTCAGCCTCCTTGACGAGTACGATGTTGTCCTGATTACTAACACCCCCTTTAGTCTGGTGGTACTACCATGTACCCCGGTATCTCCGACCGTATGCAGAAGGAGATCACTGCCCTTGCTCCTTCTTCCATGAAGGTCAAGATCATTGCTCCTCCCGAGCGCAAGTACTCCGTCTGGATCGGTGGTTCCATCCTGGCCTCCCTGTCCACCTTCCAGCAGATGTGGATCTCCAAGCAGGAGTACGACGAGAGCGGTCCTTCGATCGTCCACCGCAAGTGCTTCTAAGGTATGTGCTGGTCTTCCAGGGATTATATCAGATCTTGCTAACGGAGTTTCTATCTAGCTCTTGCGCGTGATCCGTTTCGTACTCTCGTATTCCCCCATGTATTAAAAAGCCCGGAGACACTGGTGACTTGCGGGCCTCTCTGACTCGCACTAGGAGGAAGATCGCCTGAAAAAGGAACTTTTATTTTAGCTGTGGAATAGAGAAGGTTTATTTTTTTTTGCAAACGCGTGTCACTACGGCAGCAGGCCACTTTTGTGGCGGCAACGAGTAAGAAAACCGGAGGGGCACGAGAAGCGGTGTAGGCGAGGGAATGTATATGGGAGGCTCTTCTTTTCCTTCAAATGTTCGACCTCGTGTGTTTGGCTCCTGTTCTCTCCTGTTGGGCCCGTTTCTTTGCCATTCTCGCCTTCGGGCTGGTTATAGCTTAAAAATGCTGCTGCGAATGTCGATCTTCTGTGGATGAGCCGGACTGCTTTTTATCTTTTGTTTTCCCTTTTCTGATTCCTGCCTGCCCATTGAGCTCGTATGACTATCTATGACCTGGTGTCTTTTCACGGCCTCAACTTGGACTCTCCGTAGGATTTTCACCAGTAATGCCTACTGTATACAACACCAGAGGAAATGAGATGGCCTAGATCTCATCCAGCCATCCCCCGGACACAATGTCAATCTGTCACAGGTAACAGAGGTCACCCAGACCGTCGACCATGATGTCATGCCAGGCCTTCTAGACCGCGGGGAATGAAACTGGAGGTGTCCGATCTGGCGACCGTTTCAGCCCAGCCCAACTAACTAGTAGTAGTAGCTACTAAGCCAAATGGGTAGTGCGATCCATAGGCTTAGTGAGAAGCTGGATACAACCCTGCGGGCGAAGGTATCGCAGGCCACGTTGTGTCTATTATCATGATTGTGATTGTCACCAGTATTCTATATAAGAGTATGTTGTATACACCACTGCCAGGAGTTGCTATACGTGTTGTTAGTAGTATTTGGTAAACGCAATGTGGTGTGTGTGCTTGAGTATGTTTGGTTCAATCTGTCAATTGGGAGTGCGGTTGTTGGATGCGTAGGCGCTATACTTACTACTTCCTACCTGTGTATAGTAGAATTAGTACTGATATACCCTTCAGAGTATAAGATTTCTGTTATTACTTTTTTGTTTTGTAGCCTGGATGAGGATAGACGCGAGTACTGATAGATACGATGGGTGATGTATGTATCTTCAGGTCGTAAGATGATTAGTTAGTATGTTGGTGGTTACTTTGTACTATGCCTGGTATGTGAGGCATATCTATAGTATAGAGTGTGAACAAACGGAGTATGTGAACAGGGGAAATATTGTATTCATTCATTCAAAACGTAACTTGATGATATCAAAATAATGCAAAAGTATAAGGAAAAATAAAAGGGGAGGAGGGATGTTCCCTCCTGCTTTTCTATGGATTTCATCTCCCAGCCCAACCCGCCGCCCACCGTGGTTTTATCTAAGTTTGACATCATATCATAACATAACTCTCTTTATCTGAAGGACTCAAATTATCATATTTACGCATCCCAGGTCTCCAGACCAGTCAGGATACAGCCCTCCTCGCCTTCCTGCTTGACCTGGAGCTCACCGATCTGGTAGACCGTCTGGCCCTCCTTCTGGAGGAGGTCGGTGATGGCACCCTCGGAGCCCTTCTCCACAGCCAGGATCATACCCACACCACAGTTGAAGGCGCGGGACATCTCCATGGCGGTGACGTTACCGTTCTGCTTCAGCCAGCGGAAGACAGGGGGCAGCTCCCAGGTGGAGACGTTGATGTGCGCGGCCAGAGTGGCGGGCAGCATACGGGGCACGTTGTCGAGCAGACCACCACCGGTGATGTGAGCGAGACCCTTGATAGCGGCGGAAGAGGTGGCCAGGGCTTTCAGGAGGGGCTTGACGTAGATGCGGGTAGGGGTGAGCAGGGCCTGGCCCAGGGTCTGGGGACCCGTGGCCGAGGGCATGGTGAAGGGAGCGGGGTCCTGGTAAGACAGACCCGAGCGCTCAACGATCTTGCGGACAAGAGAGTATCCGTTCGAGTGGGGGCCGGACGAAGCCAGGGCCAGCAGGACGTCACCAGCCTTCATGGCGGTGGTGTCGGGCAGGATAGTGCGGGCGTTGGGGCCGGTGGTGTTGATGGCACCGACGGCGGCACCGACGGCGTCGTAGGACTCATCGATGAAGAGACCGGGCATCTCTGCGGTCTCACCACCGATCAGGGCGCAGCCAGCCTGGACACAGCCCTCAGCGACACCGGAAACGAAGGCAGAGGCGGTGGGGACGTCGAGCTTGCCGCAGGAGTAGCAGTCCAGGAAGAAGAGGGGCTCCGCACCCTGGACGACCAGGTCGTTGACGTTCATGGCGACCAAATCGATACCAACGGTGTTGTGCACGCCAGCAGCGTGGGCAATCTTGAGCTTGGTGCCGACACCGTCAATGGCACCGATGAGGGTAGGGGATTCGGGGTGGTAGGCGGAGTTGGCGGCGGCCAGAGAGAAGAGACCACCGAAGCCACCGATGACGGCGTCGGTACCGGGGCGCTTGGTCTGAGCGACGGAGCTCTTGATCTTCTGGACGAGGTCATTGCCTGCATCAATAGAAACTCCGGCGGCGGCGTAGGTGAGAGACTCCTGCTGAGCAGCGGCAGCATCGCGCTGGCGGAAGGCCCGGTGGGCGATATCCTTGCGGTAGAACATGTCCTCAAAGTGGATGGTGGCGACGCCCTCGTAACTCTTGCGGACGGCCTCCTCGAGGCTGGATGCGGTGGCCGTGGAGGCAATGACACGGCCGCCAGCGGTCTGGAGCTCGTCACCGACGAGGTTGGTACCAGCGTGGAAGATCAAGGTGCCTTCGGGGGTAGGGTCCAGGGTGATCTTCTTGCCCTTGGCGTAGGAGTTGGGGTAGCCACCGGCCACGGCGATAACAGTGGTGGAGAAGTCGGGCTTGACATTGATAAAGACACCGTCGAGCCAGTGCTCGGTGCAGGCGACCATGATCTCGGCCAAGTCGGTGTCGTCGGTGAGCAGAGGGAGGAGAGTCTGAGTCTCGGGGTCACCACCGCGGACATTGTACTCGAGAACCTTGGGGCCATCCTTGGTCATCATGAGACCAGTGAAAAGGATACCAACGAAGGGGAATCCTATAGAGTAATTGTGGTCAGCGAAGGAAAGTAAACTAGAACGGATCTAGGGAAAGACGGACCATCTCTGCGCATGCCATCCACGGAGGGCTGAATGATGGAGCGGTCAATCTGAGCGAGAACCTCCGGGGAGGAGATGGGGGTCGGGGCGTAGCAACCCATGCCACCGGTGTTGGGGCCCTGGTCGCCATCGAAGATACGCTTGTGGTCCTGAGCGGCGGGAAGGGAGCGGATGGTGTAACCATCACTGAAGGTCAGGACACTGAGCTCGTCACCCTCGAGGTACTCCTCGATGACGACCTCGCTGCCGGCCTCACCGAACTGGTTCTCGACCATCATTTCACGGAGGGCCTGGTGGGCCTCCTCCTTGGTAGTGGGGATAATGACACCCTTTCCACCGGCCAGACCATCGGCCTTGATGACGACCTGGTGAGAGACGGAGTCGAGGTACTGGCGGGCAGGCTCATATTCGTAGAAGTTCTCGTAGGCGGCGGTAGGGATGTTGTGACGCTTCATGAAATCCTTGGAGAAGGTCTTGGAGCCCTCCATGCGGGCAGCGGCCTTGGAAGGACCGAAGCAGCGGATGCCAACTAGATTCGGGAAAACCACGGTCAGTTACACAAGAAACTGCGATTGTTTGTTCCATGTCAAAGGACGGACTCACCGGCCTGGAAGTAACCCTGAATACCGTCGACGAGGGGAGCCTCAGGACCGGGGACAACGAGGTTGACACCGTTCTGCTGGGCGAAAGCAACGAGACCGGGGTAATCATTGCCCTTGACATTGACGCTCTGGATCTTGCTGTCGGGACCCTGAGCAGTGCCTCCATTGCCGGGAGCGACGTAGACAATGTCGACGCGGGGAGACTGGGTCAGTTTCCAAGCCAGCGCATGTTCACGGCCGCCATTGCCGACGATGAGAACGCGCAACCGTTCCGTAGTCATGGTGAAAGGTGCAGGGTTCTCTGAGGACCTGATTGACAAAAATAAGGTCAGAGAAGAAGCACAAATGTGCGGTTAGAGGGTGGTGAGAGGAGAGGAGGAAAGAGAGGGAGAGGAAGAGAGAGTGTGGAGGAGAAGATGGAGTGGATGGAGGGGCAAGTGAAACCCCCCATTGGGATACTTTGACTCATGGTTTCTTTCGGTCAAATGCCCCAGAACAAGTCCAATTGTGGAGAGTTCCATGCAAAGAGTAAAACATTTCTTTACTTACCTCGAGACCAAACTGCACACAGAGCTAAAAGAGCGAGAATGAAGAGCGAAAGCAGCAATGGGAGCAAGCAAAGAAAACCAAACTCAACTTTGTCGCTGGGAATTTTTTTTGACTTTTTTTATCGATTGGCGGCACGGCGGGGCCAATCAATTGCACCTCCGACCCCGGATTCGGAGTACAGCAGTAGGCATGTACAGGCTAGATAGTTAGCTATTGAGTTGGATATTTGAAACATTAAATTGTGTAAGAAAGACTTATAGGGAATAACAGAGACTGAATTCTTTTCATTCTCATATCTGACACCCAAGAAGATCTCTCTCAGGTATCGAGTCGCACTATCTCAGCTATACTCCGCGGGTACTTGGGAGATTACTGGCTGGTACTTCCTGGTACTTCTTGGGTACATTGCTTGTTATCGATACCCGTTCGTATGGACAGACAAATACCACGCTGTTTCCAGTCCCGTATCTTATTTCCGTATCGATCATACCAATT